CCCGCCCCCGCCCAGGCCTGATGCCTCTCGCCCAGGCTTTAGGCCTGGGCAAGGGACCCCCAGACCCCTCCGATTGCCGGCTCTGCCCCCCGCCCAGGCCTGACGCCTTGGCCAGAGGCATGGACCTCCATCACCCTCCGATCGCCGAATCAGCCCCTTGCCCATGCCTGACGCCTCGGCCAGAGGTGTCAGGCCTGGGCAGGGGACCCCCATCTCCCCCTGATCACCGGCTTCTGGGGCCGGCCTGCAGCCCGACGGGCGGCAGGCAGGCAGCTTCTGGGGTCGCACACAGGTCCTGGTTGGCGGCTCTTGCGCTGGCGGCTGCGCTGTCCCACCCTGCCTGCAGTATGCAAATTAGCCGCCATCTTTGTTGGTGGTTAATTTGCATATCGCGCTGATTAGCCAATGGGAGGCATAGCGAAGGTATGGTCAATTACCATGTTTGTCTATTATTAGATAGGCTATGTAATTATATATTATAAAGAATGCTTAGAAAGAATAAAACTGATTTTCTTTTTTAAAACTCTTATCCTTTGTTTTCTCTTTTTTTGGATTTCCAATTAGGTGGAGATTGGAGATTTTGAAAGACCTTTTTCAACCCCAGCAGGCCATGTTACTAATCAGTGCAAAGCAAACCAAACTCTAAAACAAGTCATAGAGAAATTTTACCCTAAAAGGTATAGAGATGACTCCTCTGAAGAGCAGGTAAGGTAAGGAACCTCTTGTAACTCTTAAAGGCAGAGCCACACTTGTTTTTTGGTGATATTTTAAAGATGAAAAAAAATTGTATATGACCTTTTTTTTCAAGGCTTTTTAATAGTGGCGAATCCCAAGAAATTATACATCTTTTTATTTATATGCCTAAAAACTTTTTAGATTTAGGAAATAAGAGAAAAAAATTGGTCAATAATATGTTTAATTTGATGAAGTGATTACCAAAAGTTGGTGTTTTTTTTTATCTCTTAGGGTGTTTTATTATGAACAAATTGGAATAAAAATAAACTATCATCTTACACAAGATTTTTTAATATAAAGCTTTAAATTAAACTCAGCTAACTTGGAGTTTTGATTTTTGAGAGCATGTAAAGAAAAGCTGTAGATTTAAAAATAGAGGAAATCTAGTTCACAATGAGTTTTTCCAAAATAGGGACATTTGAGGTGAGTCTTTTCTCTCTGTAGAAGAAGGGGTTTAAAAGAGGTTTTCCCTGCATCCAGCATTTCTACAAGCCAGGGGTGGCAGTACCTAAAGTTCCACTGTTAGGGATTTATTCTTTGGTCTCAACTTCTTTTACTTTTCTTTAAAAATGAAAGTTATTCCCATGAGAAATTACCTGTTAAAAGAATTTAAACTGAGACTTTGTATTAGCTAATCAAGATTTTTTAAAAATATATATTTTTTATTTCAGAGAGGAAGGGAGAGGGAGAGAGAGATAGAAACATCAATGATGAGAGAGAATCATTGATTGGCTGCCTTCTGCAAGCCCCACACTGGAGATGGAGCCTGCAACTCGGGCATGTGCCCTGACTGGGAATCGAGCCACTACCTCCTGGTTCATAGGTCAGCGCTCAACCACGCTGGCTGGACATTCATCAGATTTTTTAAGAGTACCTGAAGTGGGTGGGAAACAGGAAACCTAGGTCATGCTGAGAGCACTAATACTGAGGATTTGGTGAAAGGAATGCTACAAAAAGGTCAAGGGGTAGACTGTGGTTACATGGGAGTCACCAAATAACAGTTTGGCCTAGGTTGGGTCTAGGTACCCCAGTTCTGCCTAGGACTGGCTTAAGAAGAGCCTTCTCTTAGGAGGACGATCCACTTTATATTTTGCTTTTGTTTGTTTTGTTCTTTTCTCTCTTTTTTTTTAGGCAGCTTTGCCAGCGACTATCAACCAGATGGATGGCCCTCCGGGGACACAGTGCTGCTGATTGTGTGCGAATTTATTTGACAGTAGCCAGGAAGTGGCCATTCTTTGGTGCCAAGTTGTTCCTTGCAAAAGTAAGGAAGATGGAGGATAATTCAGTAAATAAAACAGTGGTCACAGTAATTCCAGGTTTATAGGTTCGGTGTTTAAAAGGAAAATAAGGAAATTTCCAACAGTTTAAACAATAAGTAAAAGGCAGGAGAGCCATCAGCTTCTCCATCTTTTCCCCTCTGCTCCACTCCCCCCCCTCCCTTAAGTCATTTCTTACACTCACTAGGCTCAGCATTAGACTGAAGACAACAGCTGAACTTTGCTTTCTTCTCTTCATTCATGCAGCCACTCACTCATCTAGTCTCTCGCTCATTTGCTCATTTATTTCATATTTTATGAATTCTGTTTGTCAAACACTGAGCTAGGCTCTCTAGGGGATACATAAGCTCGCGGTTTCAGATGGGTTGTACTCAAGCTCGACTGAAGACAACAGCTGGACTTTGCTTTCTTCATTCATGCAGCCATTCACTCATCTAGTCTCTCACTCATTTGCTCATTTATTTCATATTTTATGAATTCTGTTTGTCAAACACTGAGCTAGGCTCTCTAGGGGATACATAAGCTCGCGGTTTCAGATGGGTTGTACTCAAGCTTCCAGGAACTCACAATCCAGTGTTGCAATGGGCCTGGGAACAACTACTGGCTGGTGAATATGGCCAAGAGTGACATGAGCAGAGCCCGGCAGGAACACTGAGGATGGAGGGACTGACCCTGCCAGGGGGTAGATCACGTAGCTCGTCCCAATACACACATTACTAAATGGACATTTTGGATCCCAAACCCAGGTTTCCTAATATCAGATTCACTGCTCTTTCCATTATGCCACACTGCCTCCTCCCCAAGAGAGATTTTTTAATAGTTGTTGTTTTAAATGTTGCATTATCTTTAGCTGAAAAATGTTTCTATAAATTTGCTTAGCATTTATTACAAAGTGTATTTTCACTTCTTCATAGCCCATAACTCCATCATCACTTGGAAATACTTTCCTGTGGCTGGCTATACATGAGGATGGTTTAAGCATCTTAGAATACAGCTCCATGGTAAGGTTAAATCCTGAAGTTTTGCACTGAGTCTATTGCTCAGTGTACTGTAAGCAGAAGGTAATGATATCTTAGTCTGATTTTCTTCCTAATAGTATATAACGAATAGTCATTTTATAAATATACAACTATGATTACAGTTTAATCTTTTAAAACAAGACTAGACAGGTTCTATACCGGCATAGCTCAGAGATAGGCAGTTTGGTTCCAGACCACCACAATGAAGCAAATATCACAATAAAGCAAGTCACACAAATGTTTTAGTTTCCTAGTATATGTAAAATTTACGTTTACACTATACTGTAGTCTACTAAATGTGCAATAGCATTATGTCTAAAAAAAGCAATGTACATACCTTAATTTAAAAAAATACTTTATTGCTAAAGAATGCTAACCATCACCAACGCCTTTAGTGAGTAGTAATCTTATGCTGGTGGAGGGTCTTACCTTCAATTTGAATAAAAATCTGTGAAGCGCAGTAAACCAAAGGTATGCCTGTACTGTGTATGAGAAAAATATCAAGATACCATGACCGAATTGTAATCATGGTTGTATTTTTAAAATGACCATTTATAATGTTAGGAAGATTGCTTCCTGTGTAAAATGAAAAAATAACAAATAACATTAAAATAGAAACTTAAGTTCAGTTTCCCTAAGGCTTCTGTGAGGATTTCTGTAATTTCCTGTCATATCACTTATCAGTTTACTTGTACCTAGACAGTATCTTAGACCTTTTTCTGTGATTAAATATAAAGTCAGATATGCTGTCTATGTGTCATTGATTTACTTCACATGAATCATATTACATAGTAAAAATGTTGTGGTTTTTTTTTTAAGCTGGCAGGCAGGAATTGCTACATTTTACCTGGTAGGTATCGTGGGCTCTCCAACTGTGGACAGTCAGTGATCACTGAGAATTTTTTGGAAAGCAAACTATTTTTAAGTGTTATAGTAACTGTTTCTCCTTATAATCGCTTTAAAAAATGTTTTGGAAGGAGTTTGTGCTTTTGAATGCCTTTTAGTTCTTGAATGGATAACTTGAAGATAGATTCTAAAATCGGATTTAAAGTCAACAAAAAACTGTACACCATGATTGAGTTATCTTAGCTAAGAAAACCAGTTCCCTAGTAAACAGGCCAGGAAGTGGACATGTGTGGGCTGAGCCTTGAGCCAGTCAGTGCTGGAATGGTCTGCTCATTCTTGCAAACTAATCATTAGATGTGCAGATTCCTTTCCTTTTAGGCTGCACATCTTTGAATAATATTTTTAAAATTGTTTAAGCAACACATTAGGAAAAATATGTGCTGCATTTATGATAAAGGGTTGGTATCCTTTATAAACATGGATGTCTTAATAAAACAATAAGGAAATGGCCCAGCCAGTGTTGCTCAGTGGTCAACTGTCGACCCATGAGCCGGGAGATCACTGGTTCAATTCCTGGTCAGGGTACATGCCTGGGTTTCGGGCTTGATCCCCAGTACAAGAGGCAGCCGATCAATGGTTCTCTCTCATCATTGATGTTTCTATCTCTCTCTCCCTTACTCTCTCTGAAATCAATAAAAACACATTTTAAAAAACAATAAGGAAGTGATCAACACACCTATAGACAAATGGTCCAAGGCAATATACAGAAGAAATACAAATGTTCAGTACATGTATTTTAAAATGTTAATCTCACTAGTAATCAAATAAATTCAATTTAAAACAGTGAGATTCTACTTTTCACCAGTCAGAGGTTGGCAGAGATTCAAAAAATGATATTTAGTGTTAGGTGCTGGGTACATAAATGGGTATAACCTTTCTGGAGGAGTTTGGAAATATTCTAAATATTGTCCTTATTTTCTTGAGATGGCAATTCCAGCTGTTGATGTTTGTAACCAAAGGAATAATTACATATGTGTATTACAAAATATGTTGAAAAATATGCATTGGAGTGTTGCTTAAGTTAGTGACAAAAATGATTTAAATGTTCTGTAATAGGAGTTTAGTTAAATAAGAAATGGTAAAGACGTTATATAAGTACATTTGTTGTCATGGAAAGATTTTCACAATATGTAGTTAAATTTAAAAAGAATCTGTGCATGATACTATTTTTGTCTGTGTAAATCAAAGTATGCAAATCAGTATAAACCATATGGATTTGCCAATATTTGACATGTTTTACCCTAAAAAGTATCAGTTTCATATGGTTAAACCTAACATACATATGTAGACATATACAAAAATATTAAAGGACATATACAAAAATATTAACAGTGGCTTTCCACTGAATGCTGGAAGATAGACGCTTTTTATTTTCTTCTTGTATTTTTCTCATTTTCCTAAAGTGAGTTATTTGTTTCAAAATCAAAATGTATTTTAAAGGTAAATGATAAATAAAATTAGTATACTACTATCTATTTTGGATCACAGTAAATTTGACTTTAGGGAAAATGTTTGTATTATATCATAATTAATTAATATCAGCATTTAATGGAGATATGCTATTAATCACTTCTCATCTGTCTTTGAAAATAAAGAGTGTATAACATACTTACTTCTCTTTGAAGAGGTTAATAGTCAGCTATGTGTACAAGAGTCTAATGACATTTGGAGGATATCAAGATGACTTTATGATGGTCATTAGCAATACACATTCAAAGGACAAACCAACAGAGAAATTACTTTTTGCCATGGCAAAACCCAAGGTGAGTAGAATTCTTTGAACCAACTCTTTATGCTAGTGTTCTTTCACACTAAAACATTTATTGTGCAAAGACTAAGTTCCAGAGGAGAAAACAGACTTCACTTATAGTCAAACACCCTAGCTCCAACTTCTGGCTTACCTCTACTTTTTAAAGCCTTTGTTTCTTCATCTAAAAATTAAATGGTATGATGCTACCTTTTGTTTGTTTGTTTACTTAAGAATTAAATGAAGGAATTGTATTTAGCCCAATGCTTGCTATACAGAAGGTTCAACATAAGTGGCCTTGGTGTAAGTTGTTGTGCATATTCCATTATTATAATACGATAAAATATGCATTATCGTATTTACTTGGCGTAATTCACTTTACTGTTGTGAGGAACTTTATATGCATTATCGTATTTACTTGGCGTAATTCACTTTACCGACCCATTAGTGGGAAGATTGAGATTATACGATTAAAACACACTTTTCTTTACTATTTTTAGCAAACTAATGTCTCTAACTAAATGCAGTAAATAAACTTACATGCTAACATGTAAATGCCTCATTGTTTGATCTGTGTAGAAGGGAATGCTAGTAGCCTGGGCACTTGCAAATAGAGACTACCCATAGCTAACACTTCCTTTTGGAAATAATGAGAACCTCTCAGGGGCATAACAATTCCATTTTTCTTGTTTTAGATTCTTGAAATCACGCTTTTGATCGCCAGTTACATAAACAACTTCCATCAGCAAAAGGCTGCGTTTCACCACCTCTCTGCTCCAGCGCTGCTCTCAGCCCGGAACCAGGGACCCCACGCCAGGACGATGGGAAGCCAGCCCCTGCTCTCAAGCAGCAGACCAACCAAAGGCCCCACTTTACTCTGAAAGTGTGGGGGGCCTGAACATCACTCCCTGTCCTCTAAGCAGTGGCTGCATCCGCTCCAAATAAGTTTATTTACATCCTGGCAACATGGCACTCACATACTTGTATTCCAGATTTTAAAAATAATGGAGGTTATTTGTTTTATTTTATTCATAAATATTCAAATGAATACTAATAACACATAACACACAAAATTTGCACACATACTGATGTTTTCCTGGATTAAATGGGTTAGAATTTGTAATTTTTTTCTGTCTCCCTTCTCCCTTGCTATCAGACACATCATGCAATATGTTTTTTTTATTTTTTCTTCTTCTTCTTTTAAAAAACATTCTGGCAATCTTTAGAAAGGGAGATTCCAAACTCTCATTTGGCAAATGAGTTGAATATTTGGAAATACTGCCAAAAAGCTAAGTACTGTAATTAAATGTATTTTAATTAATGTGTTTGGAAAGAAGTGGAGTGCAGAGTGTAAGAAACAGCTGCAGGATGGTGTTTATGTATAAATTTTTGGAGCAAGTTCAGTAAATCTTCTGGCCCGATGAATCATTGTATGAGAAAACAGGAGTTAGGTAACCAGAACTTCCTATGTAATATTAGGAAGCATACACCGTCAGCTTTCAGATCACTAGAGTGTAAAATTTAAAACGAGACAGTGATTCCTGACATTCCTTGGTTGTCAACAGAGCCTGCGTTTACTGGAATATTGCCCACATTTCATTGCATTTGATGCTGGGCCATCTTGACCTTGGTTTGTTAAATAATATCGTTGAAAACAAAGACAGTTCTTAAATTTTTGCCTCATACAGTCCTTTTTCATGGTAGTTTGAAAATAAATTCCCAAAAAATCCTATATAATAAAAGTCTAATATGCAAATCAAAGAGTGGAACAACCGGTGGAATGACCGGTCACTATTACATGCACTGACCACCAGGGGGCAGACGCTCAACGCAGGAGCTGCCTCTAGCCCGCAGGCCCCAGGCCAGTCAAGGCAGGTGCCAGCGGGGGCCCCCAATCACCCTGCTGGTCGCCCCACAGATCAGCCCTGATCGCCGACCAGGTCTAGGGACCCTACCCGTGCATGAATTTCGTGCACTGGGCCTCTAGTATATTTATAAGAAGAGAAAGTAATATTTCTGTCAAAGGAGGTGAAATTTTAGTTGAAAGAGCCTAGAAATATATTCTTTTACTAGGCTACATAAATGGTCAGTGACATTGTAGTATGTGTCAGGACATAGTAAATATGAAACTGTGATAAGACATGAAAATTATAAGATGTTTAATTGCGATGGTAATCAGTATACTTAATTTTATTTATGTGTAGAATATTTGTATTTATTTTTTGGACATATTTATCACTTTGTGTATGGTACTTTTTTAAATCAATTGGAAAAAAAATGTTAGCTGCTTGAATTCATTTGTTGGCAGAGCCTTCATGTTTTCTTCTTTGCTCCCTATGGCAGTATACTGTTCTCACACTAAGCCTTTTACAAACGTTCCATCCCATACGAGCATCCCTAGAAAGGACAGAGCCATGAAATGTGCTGCTTAAGTAAGATGTTGCTTTATTGGTAATGATAAAACAAGAACAGCAACAACAAACCATAGAAAGAGATTTCCATTTACTATTTTCCCTAAATCTTTTGAGCCACAACCACTTATTGTGTAAGCAAATTCATTTTTGAGAATAAACTGGTTACTAGTTTGAGATGACTCTCAGGAGGCTTTTTGGCTGGGATACAATAGAGTTTTTAAGTTCCCAGAAAACCATTTAAAAAATCATTAGTTGGTGAGCCAGAGACTTGGCAGAGCTGTTAAATATGTGTGAGAACTTTATTCCCAGGAAATAGTTAGTTCACCATTTGGTAAGCAACCCTAAATCTTCTAATTTAAACAAGTTGTGAAGGCTTAGCTTAAACCTTAGTACCCTAGACTCAGTATTAATTTTGATAGAGCAGAGATAAAATATTTTGATGGAAAGAAGTCAATTTTCTGTAACTGATGATGTGAAAATTTCATTTTCTGGAAAATTACTTATATAGACATTTAAAAAATTAAAAATATGTTATTATGATTGGCTACAAGAGAATAATGTTACATGTTTAATTGTAATATGTGTCTCCTATCATTTTCTTACCTTTCAATCATAATAAATGACTTACAAAACCCATTTTGAGCATTATATTTTGAATAATCTTAAAGAAGTAGCTAACGTTTTCATTGTCAAAACTGAGGTGTACTCATCGTGAAAATGGTAGTTATTACCTCTTTCTCTTATATTCATGCTTTGTCTTCAGTGTTGCTTTGTTTTATCCATATAAAAGGAAGCTGTTTGGGCAAGTTATAATTTTAATACATGTGTATGCATATTGACACATATACAATATGTATAAATCATGGGCTTCTCCCATGATTTCATATTAACCCCTTAAGGGAGCTTAGTGCATATAGATGAGTTGAATGGACTGTTTTCTAACAATTTATTTTGAATGGTTCTATGTTTTGTGTGTGTGTGTGTCCTTAAAGTCAAATACTGCCAGAGCTTGGAAATGAATTTAACTCTTCATTTACAAGAAAAGTTAGTCACAACTTATAGAATCTTTGTTCTAAAATTGTGTATATTGGTTGGTTGGAGTTTTTTTAATAGAAAAAAAAGGTGGTCAGGTTCCTGGAACAACACATTTAACCCATAATTTTACGGAAGTATAATCCTGAAGCACTAACCACCATGGATAACCCTATTTCTCCAGAAAAAGTCTTTCAGTATTCCTGGGATGCCAAGAACACATTTCACCCGTGCACCCGCCCCCGAGCTGCCAGGGAATTCGGACTCCCTCAGTGCAGTCTCTGGGCTGATGTCTGTGGAGCCAAGGCTTCAGGATTGTAGGCACTGAAATGGGGGGAATGCGGAACAGGAATAACAGAGGAGAAGTTTCTCTGCCACATGGCTCATGTAGAAATTGTATCTCCTCTCACATTTCTCCCCTATTCTCTTTTCCCTAAAAGAAGAAAGGGGTTTTACTGGTGCGTGAGTAATTTTAAACTCCAAATTAATGAAGTCCACACATGGATATTTAGGGTAAAGTGAGATTCATCCATATTTCAGTGGGACTAAACCTCGGGCTTTTCTTGGGCATTTAAGTGGGGAAGTGGGAAGGTCATTCCTACAGTGAGGAGTTGGATGGGCCTGGGCAGAGACTGTGCTGAGGAGATGAGATAAACACTTGCTTCATATTATAATTTTACCTAAGTTGAACAGTCACAATGATTCTGAAGGCATATTTATAATCAACATCAATCCAAAAATCTTCATTGTATGTTTGAAGTATTTTGGGGTCCAGTAATAGGCAAGAAACAAAAACTCTTACTAAGGCAATATCTATTAGCAAATAACTCCAAAACAAGACACAAATGTTCACAGTGTGGCTGAGTCAGGATTTATATCCAGGTCTATCTCACTTTAAGGTCCATGTTCCTGAACATTACACCATAGAAACCAAGCCGGTGGCAGAAGGGTGCAGGGAGAGTATCTCCTTCAAATATCCAGGACATCTTGAGCTGGAAAGCCTGGGTCTACTCAGCATTCAAGATAGATCAACTACTGCCACTGCCATGAATGTTCCCCCAACAGCAATGGGCATAGTCACTTATTCTTATGTAATTTGGGGGACCTCTGCAATAGTTTATATCACTGGCTTCCTTTGGGTTATTTAATTACTATCGTATATCTTTCTCAAGGGTAAGGATCTTATCTTACTCATCGCTTCATTTCTTACTCTGTGTAGCACACAGTTCTGCATACAGTACTAAATCAATATTTATTATTGATTTGGAGGTAAAGTAAGTGAAATATTGTGGAGATGCATTGACGTTATTAACCTGTTAATAAATGTGCTGTTGCATAAAACCGGAAACAACTAAATAAGCAGAAAGTTGGAAAATATAAAAATCATAATATTCTTTGCCGCCAGTAAATCACTAGAAAATAGCTCGGGAGATTGCTTCACTCTCCATTTTCAAATTACTGCTATTGGCAAGAGAAAACTACCTGGAGAGAGAAAGAGAGAGAGAGAGAGATAGAGAGAGAGAGAGAGAGAGAGAGAGAGAGAGAATAGAGAATCTGGCATATATTCGGTACTCAATAGAATTTTTTAAATGAAAGAACACTTGCAGCCGAGAACTTTTAGATCAAAGAATTTGTTACCGCGTGTCACTTCGTTCTTGCACATTCTGGGAGATGCAGCTGAGCTTGAGACTTGAAAAAAGGACACTGAGAACTACATTTCCCATAAAGCCCTTCTTCTGCACGCAACCCAGCCTGTGACGTCGCTCCCATGGCAACCGCAGAGCCTGCTCGCCGGGGCCCACCTCAGAGTTTGCGGTCTAATTTCTAAGCTGGGCCCTACGCGGAGCTCGGACCCTGGGGCTGCAGAGCCACTATGCCCAGGTATCCCCGCATTCCTGCTCGCGCCAGGCTTACGTTCCCCTCGATCGCCTCCCCTCTTTCCCACCCTAGCGTGGAAGGGGTGGGGAGGGAGAGGCCGCTGGGGGTGTATTTTGGGAGGGGAGCCCACGTGGGACCCGATAGTGGGAGAAAACTGTAGGTCTGTCCTGCTTGCAACCCGTACCTGGGTGGTCAGAGGCCCGTGGGAACTGCCCTTGCGCGTGTGGATTCTGCCGAAAGTTCCCCGGGTAGAAAGGAAGAGATTTGGAAACATTCAACTCCAACCATGCACTTACTCAATAAAAGTTTCTTGCAGGCTAGGGAATGCCCTAGGAGCAGGGGTTCACAAAGCCACTTCCTTCGGGACCCCCTCCTGGTGCAGGGGTTCACAGCAACAGTAAAGCAGGGGGGCGGGGGGACCTTCGGCAGCACTAAGTGTAGGATCGTGTTTAAAAGCGAGGGGAGGGAGCGGAGGGGATAGGGATGACCTGGTAAGTACATTGTAGCCCTTCAGTTCTGTGGTGCCAGTAAGTCCCTGTTCCCAAGGCCACCCCTAAACCTTCCCTGAACAATGTGTTAGGACGTGGAGGAGACGGGGTTCCTGGAGTCCATCACAGAGCAGCGTAAATGGGGTTTTCTCACCTTGTGGACTGGCAGTGTGATCTCTGAGGAGGCTATGAATCTTGTGTGAGAAATCGTCCGTTTCCCAGTAACCGTACCATTGGTTACGATTTTAAAGTTCTGGCTATAGATATAACTTTCCCCCAGCGGCAAGACTGGTGGCAGCACCTCCTTCTCTCCTCTCTTTGGGAAGTTGGAAAGCAGATAATCACGCTTTGAGAGAATGGCATGTAAATAAAGAGCAGACAGGCCTGGACTGAGTTCCAGGGGGCTCACCTGTGGAATGAATGTGTGAATTTTAGTGCAGACATTTAGGGACACCTGCTTTAGCTCCTTTCTTCATCCTTGGTTCTTGAATAACAATTATTATAAGCTCTTAATAATTATAAGTCGGCCAAGCCCTAAACTAAATGATACATTTTAATAATCAATCATGACAATCTTATAAGGTTGGTATTCTTTTTTATTAGCATTTTAGAGATGAAGAAACAGGTGAGCCTCAGGACCAGCACAGAAACCTGGAAGTATTAGGTGCCCAATAAATACTTGCTGAACTAATAAGGGAATGAAGGATCCAGAGAAGTTGGCTAATTTGCCCAAGTTGGCATATGTAGAAAGTAGCAGATTCAGGCGTACAACACATCAGATCTTGCTCATTCTTTTTAGTTCAATACTCCATTTTTCACGTTAAGCTTTAATTTAAAAAATGATGTAATCGTATTTGTGTAAAATTATATGTGTGTGTAGAGATATGAATGAAAATGATTTTCAAAATGTGATTTTGGGTGATTTTTTTCTTTATATTTTCTGTATTAAAAATAAGGGAATCCTGCCCTGGCCGGTTTTGCTCAGTGGATAGAGCATCGGCCTGCGGACTGAAGGGTCCCAGGTTCGATTCCGGCCAAGGGCACATGCCTGGGTTGCGGGCTCGGTCCCCCATGGGGGGCATGCGGGAGGCAGCCGATCAATGAGTCTCATTATTGATGTTTCTATCTCTCTATCCCTCTCCCTTCCTCTCTAAAATCAATAAAAATGTATTTTAAAAAAATAAGGGAATCCTGAGTTAAAAATATAATTTTAAAAATAGGAAAAGTTGAGGGAGCAGAGATTATTTGGTACACTGGTTTTACACCTTCCCCCATTTGCCCAGATGCTGTTTTTCAAGTTGTATCTTTCCCAAAGTTGGATACTCATATGTGCCTGAGAAGCTCACACATACAGCTTTCAGCCTCGCCTGGGAGCCCCAGAATTAGAAAGCCTCAAAGTCTGGTGCGAAAGGCTCTGCGTATCATGTTCAGCTTTCTCTGATGAACCAGTACAAAGAAAATGACTAATCCTCAGTCAGCAGTTTTACCAGTTTATTGTCCTCCAGAAAATAATGTTGATTCGTTTTATAAATTTGACTGAAATAAAAGTGCTCTGAGCTTGAAATAAATAATGGAAAGGAGTCTTCTTGTTCCTCTGAATTTTGTTTTCCTGCCTCTCATTTAGTGAAACGCTCTGGGAAATTGCAAAAGCTGAAGTGGAAAAACGGGAAAGTAACGGAAGTGAAGGTGATGGAGCTGAAATTGGAGAAAAATCCGTTTTCTTCATTGGCAGTAAAAATGGGGTAATTTTTCCTAATTTTTTCCAAGTATTGTGATGATTTAACAACTAACGGTAAAATTTATATTAATCCTTTGATAAAAATGTGGATACTTCAACTCTTGAGCCATCTAATGAGTCTCTGGCCTGCTGGTTACGTCGGAGTTGGTTATGCCCCATCTGAGGGTGTCCTGCTTATGGGTGAGTGGGTACTCACATCCGGCCTGAACACTTGTCGTTGGTGTCCCTGACGTGGGCCACAGCAGCTTGGAGGCAGGGGCACTTGTCTCTAATTAGCCTGCCCAGTGGAGCCATCTCTTCCCAATTTGCACAAAGGCACCATAAGTGCTAACCTGATGACCACTTGTACAACGGACATAAGCATATAGATAATATAAACATGAACCATAAACGTATGATATGGTTAACCTTCACTTACTGGGGTCACAGAAGTTGAAGGAAACTTGGAGATATTCTAGTTTTCTACAATAGGGATTCTTAACCCTGGGGACCGTAGAGATACTTCTTGGGATCAGTGAATTCCCTAGAAATGTATGCAAAATTGTGTGATTGTGCATCAGTGCATTTTTCTGGGAAATTAGAATATCCCAACATTCTAGCACCTCCCGAAAAGGTTAAGGGCTATTGCAAACAGTGGTTTTAGAGTTTGAACATCTCCAGCAGTGGGGGAGTTCTCTTCCAAAACTGTAGCCTGTTTCGATTTTTGTTAACTCCTAGTTATTAGAAAACTTCCGTTTGTAACTTCCACCCCTTGGTCCTAATTCTGACCCGTAAAACTATGGGAATAAATCGAATTCCTCTTCTGTTTGCTAAATTTTCAAATATTATAAAATGGCTCATCAAATAGTTAATGGCAACTACCCTGTCTCCCCGAGTATCTGTTTCAGCTTTATCTTCATTTCTTTCAGCAGTGTCTTCTGTGTCATGGACTCTATGTCAGTCATGGATTCTCTATCTGTCATGATCTCAGTAACTCTTAACTAGAATTACTCTAATGTGTAATTCTCAGGATGGAACAGAAATTTTGAGGTTTTGTTTCATTAAAATAGACAAGGGCAGGTCTGCAAGCTTCTCTTTTTCCAGATGCTGATCTTTGGTTTTATTGTATAGAAAAATTTAAATGGTGATGGAAAAAAATAAAGAAAAAAGAGAAAAATTTAGTAATCACATAACCCTGTTCACTAAGGTTGAGCTTGAGATCTGTAAGTCTTTCATTTATGCTATTGGTTTTGTCCTTAATTTTATTAGATTGGGCCCTTTTTTACAGTCTGTTTGTATTTTTAATTATATTAAAATAATTTATGTATGTGGTCCTAAAAAAATAGAAATCCTTTAGAAATAAAACAACAAATACTCTAACCATGTATCTGGATTGCTTACTTTGAACATATTTGCAACATGTCCTTTATTTGTATGTTATCTTTTTTCTTAATTTCCACTTCAACAATTAGAATTCAAACATTTTAGAAGACACTAATCATCAGCTTAACCAGTAATTAGCATTGATGAGTAAAAAGAAAATTTAAGGCAGCTGACAAGTTGACCACTAAAGTGAGGTATGATTTGCTAGTATTTGTCATCCAAGGGGCTTTATAATTATAATAATAGCAGTGTAGTTACTACACTGTGATGGAAAGTTGACAGTTAACTTTTTCCACTTATCAAACTTGGGAACAATTCTGAAAGTTTCTAGTTTCCAGGTAATTTATCATTCGAGTAATTAAAAAGCTATTTTGGGCCACAACTATGAACAATAGTAAAATTTTACATATGGATGACATTAACACAGTATTGCTTTTTTAAATTTCTAGGGCAAGACTACTATTATTCTAAGATCTCTTGACAGGTAAGTGTTATGTTAACGTTTAGACTACATTTTTTGCTTCCAAAAGGCAAGTTAGATACTAAAAGACATATGGAAGGAGAACAATTTTGAGGTACAAACAGAATAATTCTTAGTGAACCCTTAGCTTGGTCTTTAAGATCTTCTTTAAAAAATAAAACCAACAGTAACTAAAAAAATTATACAGCATTAATATTGAACTTCCCTATTCATGGAGAAATTAACATGACTACACAGCCTACACTTACTTTCTTTTTGGCTATACTACTGTGGTATTTTAATTGTTTTTATTCTATCTAGTCCATGATTATTTGAATGTTAGTCATAATCTTTAAATTACTCATTGATATAATTTTGAAGCAGAATGTTGGTCCTCAAACTGTACATTTTACCATTTGTTTTCTGTACTTTTTAACCTATACTGACATCAGATTAAGATTTAGGATTATAATGGCTAGATATTGTGGGAAGTTGATAAGGAACGCCTCCAACCAATTTGGGGGATATTTCTCTGTTCCCTTTATTTCAATGCCTTTCTTATAACGTCTCCAAAAACAGCAAGAGAGATGGTCTTAAGGTCACATTAAAGAAACATTCATTTGCAAAATATTATTAAATAATACAAATAATAGAATGTTGGCTTTGTGTAATTCCTCGTCAGCAGAATTGTTTCTTAGAAGAGCCATCCACAGTGATACCTACTTCATCCTTCCATCCCCAGGAGCCATGGCTCTTTTCAGGGCAGGCGTGTTTCTCATTACAAATACGTCATCCAGCACAACATCAGCTTAGGACAACATCTAAATTGAACTGAAAATTACGAATTTGGGTTCCTTGATAGTCTACTTAGAAAAAGAAAAGTTCTTCAAATTGTAGGTTAAATATCAGAGTTTTAAAATTTTGTCTTAAAAGCAGCATTTTGTTTCATAAAGGAAATTCTTATCTTACAGGAACTAGAACCAAATATTCCATATATAAATGAAAAAAGTACAGGAGTGATATACAAAATATTCAATAAGCATAAATATATAAATCATTAAAAATTATTTTTATTCTCCAAATTTAAAATAGTTAAATACTAATATTACTCAGCATTAAAAAGGAACGAAGTCCTACAACATGGATGAACCTTGAAGACATATGCTGAATGAAATATGCTAGTCACAAAAAAAAAATACTGTATGATTCCACTTATATGAGGTATCTAGTCATTTATAGAAACAAAGACGCTTACCAGAGGCTGGAGGGAGGAGAAAATGGGGAGTTGTTTAATGAGTTTGAAGTTTCAGTTTTGTAAGATGAAAAAGTTCAGAAGTGTGGTTGCACAACAATGTGAATATACTTAACATTACTGAACTGTGCACTTAAAAATGGTTAAGATTATCTATTTATGTTATGTGTTGCTACTAGAGTAAAACAAACAAACAAATAAATAAACCATAAAACTGCTTACCAAGCAATGTAAGCTGTAGGGTAATTAATTTATAAGGTGATTTTAATATTTTTCAAATCATTTGTCGATGTTTAGGAGTCACTAATGTCATTTGTTGGTAGCTCTCAGTAGATAAATGATGCCCGCATTTGAGCTGTGATTTAAGGTAGAGAACTGTATGTAAGTCTCCACTGATGTCTTCATTAAATTGATAATCATTCGGTTCCCCGCTCCCCATAGCAAGGCTGAGCATGACCCTGGTGTCAGTGCTTTCCACCTGGCCTGGGTGCGGAGAGCCTGTGCCAGCACTGCCAGCCCCACTGCCTCTCTGCTGGCCCAACAGCGTCTCTAGGGGCTACCAGGTCACGCAGGCACTGGTACTCACCTCTGCAGCTGCCACTAGAATCCATCAGGATGGCGTTTTGAAGGCTTATTGATTTTTTATATAATTTTAAAATCATTTTTACCTCAATGCTATTATACAAGGTAACTTCTCCACTAGTAGATTAAAGTTTTAAGAGGAAGCAAAAATTTATCGGGTAAGATGATAGCATAAGAAAATAATGGTAATACTGTCTGTCTTTATTGTACAGGGATGAGCCACCAAAACCAACCTTAGCCTTGGAATATACATATGGAAGAAAAGCTAAAGGGCATAACACAGTGAGTGTCTTTTTAAGTGATACTGCTATGCCCACAGACAGAGAAGTAATGATGCTGACTTTGTTTTACATTTTCCATCTTATCTACAATCAGTAAATATATCAGGCAGTACACTTCATGGCTATGTGCTTTTAAACTTCAAATGCAACTCAGCAGATATGAAGCTAACCCAAACTGAAAATATTTTGGCCTTCTCATTTGTTATGTCTTCAAATGCTATTATAAGGTTCCTTTGTAACTTTATTGTATGGTTTCTGGGCATAATTTATTAATTGTACTAATGTGACTTTTTCTTCTTTCAAATGAGAATATGTGAGTTACCTTCTGTGTCTCCCCAAAAAATCTTCTAAAAATATGTTTGACCTGTGGAATATTTATGAAAATATACTGCTCAAAAAGCAAATTATTAGAAAATATACCCTGAAGTTGGCAAAACTATTTTAGACTGCAGGCCCTAATTGTTTAAAATCCTATTTTCACTTGTTTTAATGTCTCTTCAAAGGAAAGTTAGAAATTATTCAATGTAGAGGGGGAATTTATAGCATTTGTGAGGAGGATTTTTTTAAAAAGCCTAAATTGAATTCTCTTTTGGAGTCCTCACATGAAAAGAGGCTATTTCTTAAATAAAGTTAGCTGTATGGAAGAACAATCTAGAATAGATGGTCCCACTTCTGTAGCACAGGCAAATTTTTATAGATTGACTTAGTCCAAATTCTGATGATTAGACAGTGTGTAAAGAGTTAAAACTGGCTGATGCTTCTTCCTGCATTCAGCAATGAGAGTTGGTCATTAAAACTGTGAAATTAAAAAGAAAAGAAAAAACAAGATATTGGGATATAGGAGAACTTTATTTTTGTTACTCACATGAACTTTGACACGAGTGATAAACTTAGAAATGGAAACTCTGAGACAACTTTCATAATCTTAACTTTTGAGGAGAGCTCTAAAAACATCCTTTCATCAAATTGTAAATCAATTGACATTCCCCAATGACAAAATTACTTCCCCCACAGGCATTCATAATCCAGATATCAACAGCAAAAACAACTTTAGTGATTATGAGATGGTGATTTGTCAAATACATATATTCATCTAAAACTTGCTTTAATGACCATCTGTCTCTTCCAAGTTCATGGTTAGTAGATACATTAAAAGCTCATGTGATGCTTTTTTCACCTATTTTTTTCCTCTAAACTTTGCGCTGTCAAGTTGAGCTTGTCCATGTTCATTCTAGAAGATTCATGTCTTTCTGAATGTAATGTTCCCTGAGAGTGCTACATGGAAGCCCTTTGTCAGCTCCTCACAGTGTGGTGTCCTGATGGTGACCCCATGTCAGGGCGGAAGCGGAGATGTCGTTGGCTAGCCGTCTAGGGAGCTTGTCTTGGTCTTGATTCCGAGCTGCCGAGCCCTTTCATCCCCTCATATTGAAAAGTCCGATAAACAGGGAAGCAGCTGTTTATTGCCAGTGAGAGCCTGCCTGTCAGATTCCCCAGGGGCATCAGGCACAGATCCTTGCTCAGGTAACCCTGGTCTGCATCAGGGACTGCCATCTGTCTGTCCCATTTCCCCATGCCCTACCTGTATGTCCCATTGATTGTGTGAGCCTCTCCATCCCTAAATCAGGATATTTTCCTATTCAACGATTTTATTTCTATCTAGAATCATAACTGTTTTCAAAAAGATAATACCAAACGTTTTCAACTACTTATTTTTATATCACTTTTGAGTAAGTGTCTGCTACATGTGCTATTTACAGAATCAGGGCACTGTTTGTCTTCTATTAAAGAATTATTAGATTTAGGGCATTTATGTATACATATATGTTCTTAATGCTTCATCTTTATTCTTTGGAATAGATGTTTTGATGCATTTTGAGGGATGGGATAGAGAAAGAGGAAAGTTTTAACTGCCAAGAATAGGTTGATGGAGGACTATAGTATTTTGTATCCATAATTATTACCGACTGGTACTAATGAAATATAAGTATTTCAAATTCAAAAAAATTACTTTGAAGAAAAAACACCTGTTTTTGTTTTTGTTTTTCAGCCAAAAGATATTGCTCACTTTTGGGAACTAGGTGGAGGAACTTCTTTATTGGACTTAATCAGCATCCCAATCACAAGTGACGCCTTAAGGTAAGTGAGCCAGCTCCAGGAACAGTAGTTAGTAAGCACCCAGTCAGTTGTGTCCATGGGAATGAGTAGGCTTTTGTGAATCAGAATTTTGGGGGACAGTTTTATGTTGCTGAAGGCTTATGCTCACTTCCTTTCTATGTGCTTCAACTGTAATGCTTCAAAGAGAGTTAAAAAGAACTAAGGCGCTGGCCTTTGATGAAATGAGAGAGCTGGCATTCCATCTAGTAACATGTTTGCAAGCCTGCAAACAAAAATATGTCAAATAATAGTCGGGCAGTGAATTCACTTTGCAGAAATTAATGTAAAAAGCTTAATTCTTTCCAGTATGCATCCATGTGAGCTAGCTCCGCCCTGAGTTTTTTCCTTTGGCTGGATATTACATCTGCCTTTGAGTTTAATGCGAATTAATACTGTTGATGCTTTGGCAAAGGGAAAACGATGAGTTAGAGGAGGGAGAATGTCTCTCTATTTGCGATCTTAAAGAAATAGAACTTTGGGGGAAACCTCAAATTCTTTGGTTTTCCTGACAGTGCCTCCCACATATTGGCCAAATCAGATGTGGAAAATTGTGACATTTCTCACATTGTTCATGGGAACCATCTTAGCCAAGGAAAACAAAAACTTTGAAATATCTTACTTTTGTCAGGGTTTAACACAAATGGTTTCTTGATACATGGACCAAATACAAAGGACCTGATATTTATTCTACTTCAGGCACTAACATATTTAGGGTATAGAATTATTTCTTATTAACAGGACAATTGTTTTTCCATAGCTGAATCTAGGTAATGTGGGCTTTATTTGTCCAGTGATTTTTTTGCTTTTAAAAATATATAATTTTAGTGTATGCTCATATAGAAAACTGGGAAAAATACTGAAAGGTACAAAGAAGGAGCACCCATCATCACATAAAAGAATAATCACTGTTAACATGTCAAGGTATTTCTTTCAGTGTTTCCAGTGTTTGTAAATATAATTTGTACAGATTTTAGATGTTTTATATGCACATTTAGATTTTGCTTTCTCACTTATAACCACCCTTTCCCCGTGACATTACTCTTCAGGAGCATGGAATTTTACTGCTATCTAGTTTTCCATTTTCCTCCTTTAACAGAGAAAATGAAGCTGCCTGGGAGTTAGGGTAGCTATGCAGGGTAGTATAGTGGAGAAGAGCTGGTGAGGGTGGGAGGAGCCACAGGAACCTGAGCTGCCAGTAGTGTGGCCTGAGGCTGAAAGGAGTTGGGCTCTCATGGGGCTCCAGTTCTGACTCTGACTGTCGCATTACCTTGTTACATTACCTTACCTGCCGTTTCTAGGCCTAACAGGGTTTGGGCCCACTGGGCTTTTGGAAAATCTGATTTCTGTAGGAAGCCAAATCTTTCCACAGCTTCTTTAATACCCGACCATGTGAGTTCTTGCTCTTACTTTCCCTGGAACCCCACAGCAGCTGGGCCTGCTTTAAGAGAGAGGAGGGATCAAGGTTATGAACACAGGGAAGGGGAGCCATAGGCCTGGGTCCAAAGTAGGTTGCTGAGTCGTTAAAGAATTCATGGAAAACATTTCACTCCTCATGTACTTGCAAATCTCAGAGTATTTTGTGACTGGAATTAATTTGACACATAATTTCCTTTTGTTGGACACAGCCCAGCAACTGGAGAAAATAATATTTCCAACTGCTATTAGAATTGTTTGTCTTTAAAGTGACTGTTCATAAAATAATTACAGATGCATTGAACGTTTCCACAGACTTTAGATAAATTGTAATAGAGCATCTCCTGTGGCCTGATTCTCTGTTTTAAGAGGTTGGGTTGTTTTTGCTTTGTTTTAACATTTTTAGCTCTCATTTGCTATGAAGATAAAAGTAACACAAGTATTTCCAATGCATTGGAAACACAAATTTTAATCTTCGAAAAAATTGAACAATTCATTTCTCTTTTGCTTAAAACAAGGTCCACCAGTAAACCTGTTTTCTTCTCCTTTACCTGTTGTGCTGCTATTATTATTTTAGTTTCCCTTCGTTGGAACACATAGTAAAATTGGATCTAAACATGCATTGTTGGACCCAATTACTTGCAAATTATTTGAACCAAATTAGTATTAGTTCAAACAAAAATTCCAGTGCCACTAATGGTTATGACACTTACATATCACTAAAAAAAGCACTCAAATAACTAAGGCTATAACTTTGGTGCTGTTTTATTGTGGGTTGGTTTTTTTTTTTTTTTTTTTTGTCTTAGAAAATTGCTATGTGTTTTTCTTTCTTTATCTTATTCTTAGATAATAATTTTCAGTATAGTAGGGTTTCACAGTGGTAATTATTTGGAGTCTTTTTTAAAATATTTTTTTATTTCTTTAGGACATTTTCTATTGTTCTTGTTTTGGATCTTTCAAAGCCTAATGACATTTGGCCCACCATGGAAAATCTGTTGCAAGCCACAAAAACCCATGTAGATAAAGTGATAATGAAACTGGGAAAGACAGATTCTACAGCAGCTTCTGAAATGAGACAGAAGATACGGAGTAACATGCAGAAGGACCATCCAGTGAGTTGCAGCTGGGATTATTCTTGGAACCTTAGCCCATACACAATTACAGAGAACATCACAACAGCTTCTTTAGTTTTTATGCATGACTTAAGATTCATTTGATATAGATGAACCTGCTCACTGGAAAATTATAGCAATTTTATAAAACCTGAGTAAGAACATATCAAGGAAAAAGATTTTTTATGTCTTCTTAGACATCTTCTGTGACTGTTATGGCATATTACACCAATCTAAAGAAATAGTTTTAAGTAGTAGTTTGATATTGATTTTATAAAACGAAGATTATAAACCAAACTGTACAAATATCACCTGACAAGAAACTAAAGGAAGCTACAAATTTGAGCAAGGGTTGGAGTTTAAACAGCCTTCACTGTCGCTCTACATTTTACATTCCTTCAGTGTCAGTCAGTACATTTATCATCTGACAAGTAATTACATTATAAAGTTGCAATGGTGACAACACAAGTTCTTTAAATACAGTCATGAATTTCATCTTCTACAAAGCTAAAAGCAGGATTTTACATTGCCCAGACTTTTCATGAATGTGTTTTATATAGGTAATATCCAACAAAACTGATAGCTCATGGTTCCCATGTATGCAGTATAAATGCTACTGCAACAAACAGTTAACACAAAATAGTAAGAAATGAAAAGGAAGATGACATGTTATATAAGAAAATAAGAGGGCAAAACACACAAAAGGAATAAATCTTTTAGTAATTTAGGGAATTGCTGTTTATAGTTTTATACTTGAGAAATACAGTTTATTAAGTGAAGGTTAATTATTGGAACAACCTTAAATGTCAAGCAAGCATGGTCAACATCTATGAAGAGACTGAAAATGGTATCTTTTTGGAAGTAAATAGAAATTGCTGAATATACAATAGTAATTATAGTAAATCAATGAAATATGTTTGCTAACAGGATCGTGAATTAATTGACCCATTTCCAATACCTCTGGTCATAATTGGAAGTAAATATGATATTTTTCAGGTAAGCTCTTCACTTCTAGTTGAGTTTGTTATACATACATGTCTATGCTTTTTGGGAGAGGAACCAAAGTAATAATGATTTGCATGGTCTGTTCATAAGATTCCCTTTTTCATTTTATAAGAATGTTCATCTAATAGAAGATGTTATAAATATTTGTAACAGGTTTTATTAATCAGGCCAAAAAAGAAAAAAAAAGTGTGGGAGGTTGGGAACAAGTTAACATATAAAGTGGTTTTATATAAAACATCAATTGTCTTGTATATTTTGATAGGCACCAGGATCAACTTCATTTGTAGCACTGTGATATTGGAAAAAAATAGGATTCTGTGATAAAATATTAAAAAACATTTTCTAAAAAAACGTAATAATGAAACATGAAAGTATCTCTCAGAGGGAGAGGTCAAGGAGTCACACATCTTAAAGATTTTAGAAAAGAGGATATAGTTGGGAAAGCAAAAATAGGTAAAGAACAACAAATACAGTGGAATGGGGATAAAGTAGAAGATTTAGAAACTGAATCTTGAACCTAGTCACCAAGGGATAGGACTTACTTCCCTACTTTTAAATTGAAGAAAGTAGAAAATTGGTTTCTTCTTATCTTTGCTTGTCAGAGAATCCTTAGGGTATTCCACACTATGAAATGTGTGCTGATTTCTGAATTCTGTTGAGCTAAGTGTTTAAACAAGGGAAGATCTGACAGCTGTAGCTCTAGAAGGCTGCAGCTGTTGTTCCGCTCTCTATAGAAACAAATGCCAAGGTAATGGAAGCCTACTCCTGAGGGTGTGTTCAAAAAATAAACAAACAACTAAGAAATACTCTATATCTGCATTGAATAATTTATATCTTCATGCTGCAGACATTTAGTTCTCTCAACTCATTTTTCATTTTAATAACATATTTCTTTAGGATTTTGACTCTGAGAAGAGAAAGGTAATATGCAAGACACTTCGATTTGTTGCACATTATTATGGAGCATCATTAATGGTTCGTACATTTTCTATCCTTTGGGCTTGAATGGACAGTACCAAATTTGGAAAGGTTAGCAACTTCATGCACAGTCATGAAGACTAATGCTTTTACTAATGCACATCATCCTCTCCCTTCCTTTCCCATTGCCCCAAAACGTTCGTTTTATAATGTAGCCATAGAACATACTTCTAGATGGCCTGACATTTCTTTGGTGCAAAAGATCTGAATTGCTTATATCTATAAACCCCAATCTTAAAGAGACAATTTACTTATTTATTTATTTATTTATTCATTTATTCATTCCCCTTAAGAATTAAAATCTATATTCTCTTAAAAGAAAAGGGCTAGACCATGTTGTCTCCAGGTCCCTCTGAGAGCTTTGATTAAGAAGAAAAAAGAGATCATACGAATGGGGGATAAGGGTAGAAAGTATCTTTTAAAATAAAAAATGCTTTAATATTTTATTGCATTGAAGGATATCAAATAATGATAATAATAATTATAATAACCAATATTTCTTGAGCAATACTTTGTTTCAGGCATTTCACATTATTCCCTCTTTTAATCCTCCCGACCCTATGAAGAAGGTACTGTTTTTGTCCATTTTACCATGGAGGAGACTGAGGCTTAAGTGAGATCAAATGGCTTGTCCAAGATCATACATCTAGGGCAAATAAATAGTAATTCGCTCTGCAATCTGTACTTGTTCAAAGCCATATTTATGTTACCTGTTTCTGTGATTTGAAAGCAGAGTATAAAATTTATTCTCCTGATTTTTTTTTTTTAGTTTACAAGTAAATCAGAAGCTCTATTACTAAAAATACGTGGAGTTATCAATCAGTTAGCATTTGGTATTGGCAAAAGGTACTGTTAAAATACATTTTTTTATATCTTTCTATTTTATTATTTGTGGCCAATATTGTTTCATCTGACTGTTGTTCTCACCAGTCTTTTGTTTCTTGACCCAGAAAGTGCCCCAGATATCTGTTCTTAGAAAGATAATTTTATATTACCTTTTGCTTCTTCTATTCTCTAAATATTTCTCAGATTCACAATTAAAATGTTAGAGAATACTTAGTTTGACACTAGAATAAAATGATATTATTATACTTCCTTCCCTGATTTCTTTTACTTCTTTTCCCTCATTTTAGTGGCATTCCTTCTGTTAACACTTTCTGAATTGATTATAAATGAAGTAAACAATATTTGTACATAATTTTCTTAACCATGCTACTTTTCTTGGTTTTGATTTAAGGTAATTTGTGTCTGTCACTTTTTTTCTCCTGTAAAACCTTCATTAATGCTCTACTTTAAATCACTTACACAAATATTCACTCACTTATTTGGGCAGTGCTTTCACCAGTGGCTAGATATAAAACTTGCTTCTTGTATTTACAGTAGAGTGTGGTAGGATATTCGATTGCTAAACTAAATTAGATTCTTTTTTCTTCTTACCCATGTAGCAAATCAATATGTGTGGATCAGAATAAACCACTGTTTATCACAGCAGGATTGGATTCTTTAAGTAATATAGGTTGGTGAACTTATTAAATTTGTTCAATCTTTTTTTTAATTGCTTATTGATTTTATCCTACTTTATGTTCCCTTCATCTCCAACGTACCAGCTTTTCTGGTTTCATTATCATTGCTGTAATTTCTTATTATTTACTTGTATACACAGTATTGCTGCAGTACATCACATTGACATATTTGTGATGAAAGGGATGTTGCCACATGAGAGACCGGCTTCTGATCTCTATTCCACTAAAAAGTTTGCATCTATTTCCTTTCCCTTACTGATTTCTAGGTGATTTTAAATTGTAACTCCTTGGATTTAGAAAAACCAAGAACATAGAGTGGTCAGGAAATTCAACACTATATATTATGGGCAATGGTGAAAATTAGAGATTCAAGGGATAGAATAAATAAAAAGGAATACAGTATTAAGTATCCCTTAATTTTTCATTATGAAAATAGCTGGCCTAATCTACTGGGATGTGTTTCCTAAACTTATAGATGCCCTAGGCTCATGAAGCAAAAGTAATTTTACAAGTTTATGAAGTCAAGCTACTTATCTTCTTATATTAAAAGATGTTTGGGCCTAACAGCTCTTTATACTCTAGGACTGTCATAGTTTGGTTTTAAACTCTAGTGAGCAGTACTTTATTTCCTATTCTCCATTACTCTTACAAGCTAAAGTTAACTTGACTTTAAATGTAGATATCTTTGTAATGAGATTATAGATTGAATTGCAATGAAAGGAATAGAGATGGTTAATGAGTGATTATAGAGAATGATTTTTTTATTTGTATAATTATCATTAGTTTCAAGTTAATTTCAGTCACAGTAAAAATCACTTTGTGTACTGATAGATAATGCTGATGGGAATCTTTTGCCCATGTGAGTAATTGGAAGTCAGGAAAAGGTTGAGAACTACTGAATTTAAAAATCATGTAGCTTGGACCTCATCAAAATTAAAAACTTTTGCTCGTTTAAAAAGAATGAAAAGGCATGTTATAGTCTGGGAGAAAACATTTTCAAACCACATACCAACAAATGACTAGTATCTAGAATATATAAAGAACTTAACAGTAAAAACAAACAATCCAATTAGAAGATAGGTAAAAGTCATGAGCAGACATTTTACTAAAGAGGATATATGAATGGCAAATAGAGTTTAATATAATTAATTACTACGGAAATTCAAATTGAAACCACAATGAGATATCACTTCACACTATTAGAATCTCTAAAATAAAAAATAGTGACAACACCAAATGTTGACAAGGATGTTAAGAAACTGGATTACTTATACATTGATGGTGGTGATGTAAAATGGTACAGCCAGTCTTGAAAACAGTTTGACAGCTTCTTATAAAACTAAGCATGCAGCTACCATTTGACCTAGAAATTGCACTACTAGGCATTTATCCTAGAGAAATGAAAACTTGCATTCACATAAAATCTATACAAGAATGTTCATAGCAGCTTTATTGGTAATAGCCAAAAATTAGAAACTACCCAAATGTCATTCAACAGGTGAGTGAATAAGCAAACTGTGGTACATTTATACCATAGAATACTACTCAGCAATAAAAAGGAACAAACTGTTGATACACAGAATTTGGATGTATCCCCATGGAGTTATACTGAATGATAAGAGACAATCAGAAAAGGCTACATACACTACGACTCTATTTATATAAAATTTTTAGAATGAGAGAATTTTACAAATGGAGGAAAGATTAGTAAATATCAGAGGTTAGGGACAAGACTGTGGATGGAGAGGTAGGAAGAGAGAGGTTGGGAAGGAGGTGAGTGTGATTACAATTTTAGTGAGCAACATAGATGCTGAAACATAATGAAAAAATCTCAGATTATAGATTGAAAAGTATGAAAAAGTGTCCCAAATTTTTTTTAAATTTCCAAATTAAATTATGCAAGCAATACATAAAGGCCTTCTCCTTATAAAACATTAAAATATAACATAAAAGGATCAAGTTTGGTCTGTATCTTTCCAGACCACTTTCTATATATGTGTTTGTGGTATAAAAATATGTTTTAATTTAATGGTATTATACTATATCATTTTGAAATGTGTCTCTTTTACTCAATATGCCTTAATGGTTTTTCAATATTATGCTATATATAGATTTGTTTGGTATTTTGACTGCTGGATAGTATTACACAGTAATTTAGTTTATGCTTCTTCTATGGATGGACATTTTGGTAGTGGCCAGTTTTCCACTAATATAAATGATGCTGTAGTGTGAAATCTTTAATACATGTATGCAGATGTTTTAGGGTAAACACCAAAAACTAGAATTGCTTATTAATAGGGCATGACCTTTTTTAGTACTTTAATGGTATTTAGCAGCGCTAAATTACCCTCCAAATTAGCTGTTCCAATTTCTCTCTAACCAGCAACACATAAGAGTATTTGTTTTCTTGCAAATTCACGTGCACGTGAGAATATCAATCTTATATTTTTGCTGAGCAGCAATTGAAGTGTAGGGAAAGAGAATTACAGTTTACTTATTATTGTCTCCTCTTCTTCTAGAACTGGAACCTGGCTTGCTACACTGGGTTGGGGTAAATTTTAATTGTGACTGTAATAGGAAGATGGACACGAGTGATCTAAGATTTATACTGTTTTTAGTGTCATCAGTTTTACTGATAGAGTTTGAATGTTTTAATCAATGCAGTCATTGGAGCAAACCTTCCAATTTCAGGGTCTCCTCCTGTTCCTGATAATGACATTGGGAAGTTTCATGCCCGTTCGCCAATGGAGTTGTGGAAAAAAGTGTATGAAAAGCTCTTTCCACCAAAGGTACCTATTTCTGGTTCTTTTAAAGCAGGAATTCTTACCACTATTTAATGGTTACTGGGAAATGTCCAATGGGTTTATTATGACAACTTTGTTTTCAACTCTCATGCTCAGAAATAAAACAGTCACTTGAAATCCATTGTATGTGAGACACTGGGGTTAAAGGTGGGTTATGACACAGTTCTTGCTCCACTTTGAAACAGAGCTCTCTGGCTATTAGACAAGGGAGACACAATCATCTGAAAGGAGAAGAAGGAAAAAGGACCTGGTGGAATTTGACATGGCCCTCAGATCATAGCCTACATGGCTGGCTGAGGAAAGGACGTGGATTGTGAGTCAGATGGTGTGGGGTTATGGGCATGAAATGATTTGAAGTATTGTAATTTCAGAGTATCGACACACTAAAAGATATCAAGGACCCTGCAAAAGACCCCCAGTATGCTGAAAGTGAAGTTGATGAAATGAGAATTCAGAAGGATCAGGTATTACCCGAAACATTTATTTCATTTTGAATTATCACAAAAATACCTGTAGACTTCTATACATTTTTCTCAATTTACTTACTTAATGGTTTTTTTTACTTTATAATTGTGTAATAGTACATCTTCACTATAGAAAAGTTAAAAGTCCGATATAAATCAAGAAGGAATTAAAAATCACCTATCACTCTACCACCCAGAGATAACCATGTTTACATAACCTTTTTGGATTTTTCAGTTTATGGTGACTAGTGATTCTTACTTTGCTGCTGGGAAATGCTTTTATAATATTCTTTTGTTTGTGAGATTATTTAAAAGAGCTTGTTTTTTATTAGGACATTCAGGCATACCTATACTTTCTTGTACCAGAATAATTAACTACTGCCTAATCTGAAAGCACACAAACATAACTGACAAAATCCATGATCTCTCAGGAAAGTGGTTCAAGCATTCCACATGTGCCAAGATAGCACTGTTTATTGTATACAAATCTGATGTGAGGATGCAAAACTGGGTAAATTTATCATGGCCCAATACTTATATTTTCCCAGATCACCGTTTAGTTTGATAAAATGAGACAGTGTGTGGAATCTGACCTTGTATAATAAGTAAGCTTATGTATAATAAACACTATAAATAGAATGTCCTGACAACCTCTCGGGGGGAATTTGTAGAGCTGTGTAACTTAGGCATTGTCTCAAGGATAACCTGAACACAACCATCCACTGGGTATTCTTCTTAGCATTAAGCAATACATTGAACTTAGATATAGTCCCGAAGACTTTTGAAAGTATGACATGAATATTTAGAGGGATTGTAGCTATAGCAAAGTAAGAGGCATGTTACAATCCCTATCAAAATTCCAATGGCATGTTTCACAGAAATAGATCAAACAGTACTAAAATTTATATGGAACTACAAAGACCCAGACTAGCTAAAGCAATCTTGAAAAAGAACACAGCTGGAGTCACCATGCTTCCTGATTTTAACTATATTAGGAAGATTTAATAATGAAAACAGTATGGTATTGACATAAAGACAGGCACATAGATAGATGGAACAAATAAACCCATCTATATATGTAAATTAATTTATGACAGAGGAGCCAAGAATATACAAGGGGAGAAAAGACAATCTCTTCAATAAATAATCTTGGGAAAATTGGATAGCCACATGCAAAGGAATGAAACTGGATCACTATCTTACACCATACAGAAAAATCAACTTAAAATAGACTAAAGCCTTGACTATAAGACCTGGAACTATAAAACTCATAGAAACAACATAGACAGTAAGCTCCTTGACATTGTGACACAAATTCAAAAAGATATATGTACCCCCCATGTTCACTGCAGCACTATACAATAACCAAGACATGGAAACAACTTAAGTACTCATTGACAGATGAATGGATAAAGACACACACACAAACACACACACACACAGGAATATTACTCAGCCATAAAAAAGAAGGAAATATTGCCATTTGTGACAACATGGATGTATCTTGAGGGTATATGTCAGACAGAGAAAGACAACTACCATGTGATCTGATTTATATGTGGAATCTAAACAACAGCAACAAAAAACCGAGCTTGTAGATAACAGAGAACAGACTGGTGGTTGCCAGACGAGGGGTAGGTGATAGACCAGAGGAGTGAAGGGAGTAAAAAAGTACAAACTTCCAGTTATACCATTTGTGACATGGATGTATCTTGAGGGTATATGTCAGACAGAGAAAGACAACTACCATGTGATCTGATTTATATGTGGAATCTAAACAACAGCAACAAAAAACCGAGCTTGTAGATAACAGAGAACAGACTGGTGGTTGCCAGACGAGGGGTAGGTGATAGACCAGAGGAGTGAAGGGAGTAAAAAAGTACAAACTTCCAGTTATAAAATAAATCCTGACAACATACAGCTTGCGAGTATAGTTAATAATATTGTGTTGCATATTGGAAAGTTGCTAAGAGAGTTGATCTTAAAAGTTCTCATCACAAGAAAAAAATTCTATAACTATTTGTTGACAAATGTTGACTTATAGTGGTGATCACCTCACAATATATACAAATATTGAATCATTATGTTGGACACCTAAAATTTATATAATGTTGTATGTCAGTTATACCTCAATTTCAAAAAGTGAGGGGCATGTTGAAAGAAAAGTAAAATGACCTTGAGTAACTCCTATTATGTGTATATCTTGGCTATAGAGATTAGTTGGAAGTCATCCCTGAATTAATATTTACCTAGAAGTCAATGACTAACTGCCATTGTTGATAAGAGTATTTGTTTATCGTGCATAATGACCTTTTATTACATTTATATACATAAGTATTGTTAAAGGGCTAGGGTATTTCTGAGTATCATGAGTTTTCACAGTCAAATCCATCTTCTCTAATTGACCTAAAACCATAAGAATTTTTAGTGGAACTGGAAAGCAGTCCTACAATACCTATGTCAGTCTTCACTCAACTCTTGTACCACACTGCTACCTCACTAAATTCTGTATTCTCCCTAAACATGTATCAGTGTGGGTGTGTGTTTAAAATATAGGCCTACTGATTATAAGCAAGTCGATTTTTGGAAGCAGGGACTAGCCCTGGCTGGTATAGCTTGGTTGGTTGGACATGGTCCCGTGCACCAAAAGGGTGCCGGTTCCATTCCCAGTCAGGGCACATGCCTTGTTTGTACGTTTGATACCCAGTGAGGGGTGTGCGGGATGTTTCTCTCTCACATCAATGTTTCTCTCTTTCTTTCTCCCTTCCTCTCTAAAAATCAATTTTAAAATATTTTTTAAAAAGAATTGCAGTGTAAAGAAAACCCTCTTACTTGGCTATTCCTTTAAACTATTATCACATTATTTTGAGTTCACATGATAGCAGTACTGAAGGGCCCAGTGGACATGGTGAGTTCTGTGTCATACTAGTTAGTTATTCTTTATCTTCCCTCTGGCGTGGCCTGTATGACCAGCCCATTCTTCTAAGTTTGCTGACTGCAGAAGGGACATACTACTAGCAAAGAATCCCAAAGCGATGCCCAGTAATTGTTGTGGCTTATTTTATGAGTTAACAGTCTTTGAAACCATAAGTGGTAGATAACTGGTGAACTGAATTAACTTCATTAGAAAAAATAAAGCATGCTGTAAAGACTACTTTGGAGTTATTAGTATAAAACTTCTTCCAAAGTCTTATACAGTTTTGAAACTTGGAACATTTAAATTTTAATGACTTAGACTATAGCTATGAATGAGGCAGTCTGCAATTTTTCTGAAAATGAGAATAGGATTTTTCCATTTATAGCAACTATGAACTTTAACTATGTTAGTCAAAGGGCAGTGATTGCCTTATCTTGCAGGGTAACCACTTTTTGCTTATCTGAAATAATATTTTACTCTGTACAGTTAGACATTGAGCAACAGGCAAGAGGCTAGAAGGCATTCCTGGAGATGGTCCCTTTTGCATGTTGATGGTCTCACTCAGGATTTCCACTCTCACTAAATTTATCTTTATTTTGTGAATTGTAATAGTTACAAAATAGTCTCAAGTTGTAAAGTACAGCAAATGGAATTTAGTCAATAATCTTATATAATAAAAGCCTAATATGCTAAGTGTCTGGTCATCTGGCCATTTGTTCAACCAATCAAAGCATAATATGCTAATGATATGCTAAGGCCACTCAACCACTTACTATGACGTGCACTGACCACCAGGGGGCAGACGCTTCAACTGGTAGATTAGTTTACTGCTGGGGTCCAGCCGATGGGGACTGAGCGAGACAGGCCGGGCAAGCCCTGGAGCCCTCCCACGGTCCTTCCCTAGTTGGCCAACCTCCTGCATCCCTCCCTGTCCCTGATCGTGCACCAGTGGTGTCCCTCGGCCTGGCCTATGCCCTCTCGCAATCTGGGACCCCTCGGGGGATGTCAGAGAGCCGGTTTTGGCCTGATCCTGCAGGCTAGGCCCAGGGAACCCACTGGTGCATGAATCGTGCACCAGGCCTCTAGTATTGTAATAACTATGTATAGCGCCAGGTGGGTACTGGAAACATTGGGGGAATCACTTCATATAGGATATGATTATCTAATCACTACACTGTACACCTGAAATGAAAACAAAATAATATTGAATGGAAACTATAATTGAAAAATACAATTTTAAAAAGAGTAACATATACTCATTATGAAAAAAAATCCAAAGATATACAAGTATATATAATGGAAAATGGAAGTGTTCTGCTCTCTCTCCATCTACTTGCTGTTTTCACATGGGACTGCCATCCTTTTTGCTGGCTGGCTGTAAAGCCACGTGTGAGTGAGTGCTGGTGTGTTTAATCAGCCTTTACTGGGAGATCATCTTAACCAGCGGTCAACAACCTTTTGGACCTCATGGGACCACCAGTGGTCCGTGGACCACCGGTTGGCAACTGCTGCTCCAAAGGTTTCCTCTAATCTGTTTCCAATTGTGTGTCAATATACACAGTGCAGTGAATATCTTTCTGCTTATATCCTTGTGCTCTTCTATACTATCCTATAGGATAAATTTCTTAAGGCAGAATTGTGGGTTAAAAGATCTATACGTTGCCCTGACCGGTTTGGCTCAGTGGATAGAGCGTCGGCCTGCGGACTGAAGGGTCCCAGGTTCGATTCTGGTCAAGGGCATGTACCTTGGTTTCGGGCACATCCGCAGTAGGGGGTGTGCAAGAGGCAGCTGATCGATGCTTCTCTCTCATTGATGATTCTAACTCTCTATCCCTCTCCCTTCCTCTCTGTAAAAAATCAATAAAATATATATTTTTTAAAAAAGATCTATACATTTTAAATATTGATACTTAGCTAACTTCAAGCAGGTTTTAACAAGAGTTGAATAGTGAACAATTAAAAATAAGGTCACTTTTCAATACTTCATATATGACAAATACTTTATTTTATTAATTGAATGAACTTATATACTATATAGAATATAATTTTGTCTGAAACTTTATTAAATTCATCTCTAAGTCCTGCTTATGCTACCCAGAAACTCCAAAGGCTACATTCTAGTAAATAAATACTAAGTATAATCATTTACAAAATAATTGTCAAGAAATTTTGAGAATGATAAAGCTGTAAAGGATACATTGTTATATCAAAAACTGCTAAGGGAGTTTTAAGATGCCTAGTTTAATTGTTAAAGTTGATTTGTTAAAGTACTATAATGTATATTTTTGTTTTAGGAACTGGAACAGTACAAAAAAAGTTCTTCCAAGTCTTGGAAACAAATTGAGCTGGATTCTTGAACCTAACTCAGCTACAGTGTATTTATTTCCCAAATACTGGTACAAGTAAGATTATTTTATTGATATTAGCTCATTAATGAATTCATTCTTGTGTTATTAATAAATCCTATATAATAAGAGTATAATATGCTAAGTGTCCAACTGATTGGTCGACCGCTTGACCAGTTGCTATGAAGCACACTGACCACCAGAGGGCAGACGCTCCAACCGGTAGGTTAGCTTGCTACTGGGGTCCAGCCGATGGTGACTGGGAAAGAGGGCCAGACATGCCCTGGATCCCTCCTGTGGTCCCTCCCTGGCCAGCCAGCTCCCATTGGCCCTGATCGGGACTGGGTGAGATGGCCCCGATCGCCTGATTGCTGGCCAGGCCAAAGGACCCTACCCATGCATGAATTCGTGCACTGGGTCTCTAGTAATATTAGTAATAGCTCATTAATAAACTAGCTGTTGTGGTAATAAATGAAGAAAGTTAAGACATGTAATACTTTAAACAATTTTTTAAAAAAGGAAGATGTATAATTTGCTAAAGGAAAAGTGCATTTCTTGTATTAGTGCCACCCCAGGATATTTATCTTTGAAAAGGGGAAAAAATTATATTAACTATGTGTAGTATTTTTTTTAAATAAAAAGAATCTTCTATTACCTACCTCTACCATGGTTAAGTAAATATATCCTTGGTTCAGCATTGATAAGTTTGTGCTTACGTGTTTTCAGGAATATGAAAGCAAGTAACAGTTATGAATAAGGTTAAGTGCTCATATTAGACACATTCCTCCTCTAAGGAGTTCTCAGCTGTGGCTGGTAGGAAACGGGAATTGGGTTCACTTTCACAAGCATCTAATGTTACTCTAATGGTGAGGCACAAAAAGCACCCGTAGTACTTATTTAAAATGCACATCCCTGAGCCCCACACCCAGAAATACAGAGTCAGTGAGTCTGGAATGGGGCTCAGGAAACTGCGTTTTTAATCAGCACCTCCAGTGATTCTGACATACGTTAAGTATAACTTTTTGAAGAACAGGCAGTTTTAAGGAGATGTTGTCAATAAACAGACCAAAACTTGATGACTTGGTAATAACCAAGATTATTTCCAAGGTAGGATAGCTTATAAGAAGCCTCAATCTTGTAGGTCCATGTACCTGCTACCCACGTTCAATTTAGAGTAAGTATAATTGCTGTTACCAATCAGGAAAGTTCTTTTACTCTGTGTTCTTCCATTTCCACTGTAAAATATGTTGACCCTACGTACCTACCATGCACCCAGCTTCAAATAAGCACCCCTACTAACCACAAGAACACCAAGGCTGAGGAGTGGCATCTGAGTGCACAGCAAGCTGCCTGATAACTGTCATGAAATAAGACGTCCTAAACTAGCTGCAGTACGCGAGGCTCCAGCACTGTGGGGAGCAGGTTTGCAGCATGGCTCCAAGGAACCTCACTGAAGGAGCTGACAGGCGCTGGGCCTGGGTGCTGTGGAGAAAGGACTCCCTTTAAATTAACAGTGAACGTGATGCTCTCAGAAACACCACTGACTTGGTGAGAAGAAACAGCTCATTCCACAATAGTAATAGGAGCTTTTATTATATAATTTGATTTTCTTACACATCATGTCCATTTTTGACTTAAGACACAAACTGTCACATCGTGAAAGTCACTATGTTTCTCAGAGATGGTATCGCTAACATTTAATAGCTTGAAGTCACGTGCTATGTCAATTTTGCCAGTGTTTCTGAGCTAGAATGAAATTCATCTGCATATGAATAGAAAATGTTTCCACTTACATTGTGCACCCATATCTTTAGTAAGTTGAAATCAGTGATTTCTAAAGAGGTTCCTGTGGAACTCTCTTTGAACTACTTTAATAGATTATCATCTCCAGAATTGTCTATAATTGATGTGACATATATAATCTGTGAGGCATTATGTAACTATTACACCATAATCATCAGTGTCAAAGACCTTTTATAAAAATTGACAGTACGATTCTGGTAATTCACCAATGTCTCCAGATCCTTAAATACTGTTCTAAGAAATAGAATTTTACTGTGGTTTCCTTAATGAAATGATCTTTCCTACAATAATGTGAGACATTTCAAATGCTATAATTTATCATTCTTTACAAGTTCGGTCATAGTAACTGAACAAGTTCTTGTGCTCTCTAAGATATTCTAACTCAGAGTTACCATGGTAACATTGAGACAGTTTTATTTCAGACTTATACATGAATTTCTTGAAGATCAATCAGAAAGATAGTCATTTTGTATATACCATTTATATACAAACTATGTACAACATTCGATCCCTAAAAATATATAATATAGGTGTTTGTATTCATCAGCATTCTTTCTCTTTACAGTTCAAGAACATGAACTCCCAGTGTGTAACCCTATTCTTCTGAGTGTAAATGTTGTGTCCGTTGAGCATCTTGTCTACATGGACTTTCAATAATAGCTGCTTCCCAACCTTAAAGATGTCATTTCTCAGTGCAAACACTTTATCTAATAATATTTACTTTTAATTGTATAAGTAAACTAAGCGGAAGTGAAAAATAGCTAATCTTTAAAAACATTACAAGAGGTGTGCCTGATGTGCTGTGTTCTCAGTTCAGCCATTCCTGCAGTTTCTCATTGTAACCCTCCATAAAATCACTGAGTGCTCTGGACCAGTGGTCTTCATCATCCAGCATCTGTCCACCATCCTCTCGATGTCATCAGGTAACTCAGAACCCTCACGTGGACATGTGCACATAACTATGAGTTTTTAAATAACAATGAAAGCATTCTTACCCAATTCTTCATGATGCTTTGCTTTAACCACTCCCTTTTCTGCTACTTTTCTGCTAACTATTCAGGATTCTTTTTACTGAATCCTTTAGCGAATGTAAGCATAATTTTTTAACCGACCTATTTTTCTCTCTAAAGCAAAGAAAACAAATATTACAGTCTCCATAACTTTATGAAGTATTATTATCTACATTTTGGACTGGCTTAGTCACAATTTCTAAATACCACATGTCCCTACAACTTGGAATAGCATTCAAGGCCTCATGGATCCAAGAGCACAAAAGGAGTCTTAATGGTTTAAAAGACTTCAGATGTACTGTCAAGACAGAAACAGGAGGCATTCTTATTTCAGACATTCAATGCAGCCAGGCACCTCTAGGAGCTTCAGTTCCATTCTCACAGCAACGTGCTTTACTATCTGCTAATGAGATGATCCCGCACTTTAAACACAACTGTTCCTAGGAGGACAAGAGCTGGAATAAACGCATACAGGATCAGGAAGTCTGCTGTGAATCGGGATGTTGCACCCGGGCTGATTCTCTCAATGAATTGGAGTCCTTGATTGAAGGCACACGTTGGATTAGCTGTCACAGAACCATTTGAGCTGCCTGCCAGGGAAAAGATCGACACTGTGAGATATGGGCATTTGGTAAATACTTGGTGATTAAGAAGTAATTTCGTGCCCTAGCCGGCTTGGCTCAGTGGATAGAGCATCAGCCTGCGGACTGAAGGCTCCCAGGTTCGATTCCGGCCAACGGCACATGCCTGGGTTGCAGGCTCAATCCCCAGTAGGGGGCGTGCAGGAAGCAGCCGATCAGTGATTCTCTCTCATCAGTGATGTTTCTTTCTATCTATCCTCCTCCCTTCCTCCCTGAAACCAATAAAGAAATATTTTTTTTAAAAAAAAGTAATTTTGTAAGCAAGTGTTTACCAAATGCCCACTAAGTGCTTAGCCCCCTGCTAAGTACCCTTCTTCATGAGAGACACAGACATTTGACACAGCCCTGGAATCATTATTAGATGAAACAATAATGAGTGTTCTGGGCCTTGGCTCCATTTGAAGTTGGAAATTGATTTGTTTCCATTTGGGGTATATATTCATTGCCATAGCACTGGTAAAAATCATAATCACTTAGGATCACTTAGCACTGAATATCCAAAGATTTCTGCTGTTATCACCTAAAGATATTTAAAACAACTATGACATTCTGCCCTGTTCTTTAGTTGCCTTCAGAGAATGGCCTGGATTTCCAATGGCCAGGGGGACCTTGTTAGGCTCCCACTGCCCTCTCATGGGGTGGGGGATGGCCTTTTGCCAAAAATGGCTTTACTCGGCTCTATACTATGGACATTTGGGGAATAAGAAGCCACTGCACCCAGCTTCAACCAGCTCGTAGAAACTGATTCCATCAGAATATGCTAGAGTTTACTTCAGTGCATCAGGTCTGTCATTATCTATCATCTATCTATCAGAGAGAGAGAGAGAGAGAGAAGACATCAATTTGTTGAACTTATTCATTCATTCTTTGGTTGATTCTTATGTGTACCCTGACCAAGGATCAAACCCAAAACCTTGGTTTATCGGGACAATGCTCTAACCAACTGAGATACCCAAGCTTAAACTATTGACCTTTGACAGGTGTCTAACTTGACTACTGCTTATTTCTTTTTAAAAACCAAAGAAAATGTTACTAAGCTTTTTATTTCAAAACAAAGTTTTAAGTCTATTATTACAAAACATATCTTTTATTTTAAAAGTGCATTTCCCTCCAGAAATTGCTTCCTCAGAGTGACATGTATAAATAATATTCCAAAATAAAATACTTACCACAAGTGAAATTCCGTCCATAGAATTCATTGACTACAAGAATCTCAGAGCAGTATTTTTGGAATGTAAAATAAGTGAAGATTTTAAAAGGAATGGGCATTTCTTCTATGTTCCTTAAGAAAAAAAAGAGAGAGAGATGAAATTCAGTAGGCTCTGGGAATAGTCCGACCAAATGAAAGACAGGCAACCCTTATTTTATGTTTGCCAACACAAATACAGTTTTTCATCTCTCATTATAAAAATGATGCTTACTATAAAAATGTCAGGCAATACTGAGAAGTATAAAGAAATACTACTTCCCAGAAATAACTACTGTTCACATTTTGGTGATACATGTGACGTGTGTATGTACATTTATAAGATTTTACATACATGGAATTAAACTCTTTTCATAAATGGAATCATGCCCTTTCCTAACCTGCTGTGTTTCAACCGAACACATATCTCAGACAGCCTTCTAAGAACTTGTCAATCACAGCTTGGTGATTGATTATAGTAGAAACCTTCATTTAACAATCAACCCCCTGATGATGGATTGGTGTTTTGTTTTTGGTAAGCACCACTGATATCAATATAAAAGGAAAAGCATACCTAGTGTGTATCACATTAGAGGAGGGTTTCTGTGGTTAAACATATTTGAGGGTGCTAGTGTGTGAACTAAATGACCATATAAGTTGAAAAGATGGAGAGAGCAAGCAGGGAGAGTAGTCATCCATTTATTCACACAATTCAAATATATTTTGCAAACCTAACTGGGCTGTTCACTGAGAAGAACTATGATGGTGAATGAAACACAGATGCTGCCCTCAAGGGTTAACCATCTATTAAAAGGAGACTGCAACACGAGTCTCAGAGAGAAAACAAAGGGAGAGCTTATCTAGGCAAGGGAATGATGGGCAGGCTTCGTGCAGGTGGCAAAGGAGACCAATGGGATAGTGAATGGCATAGGAAGAGAACCAGGCTGGCATACTTTCAAGAGAGAGGAACCACAGATCTAAATTTATTGATATGGCACTGTCCACATTATATTGTTAAATGGGGAAAAAGCATGAATACTTTATCCCTTCACAATAGTATGTATTATCTCATTTTTATTAAAAATTACATAAATGTCTAGCAAGATACACAACAAAAATTAACTCTGGGTTGTGATACTTTAGGTAACTTTTACTATTTTCCTTACAATATTTCGGTATGGTGTGCATCCCCCACCCCTGAGAACTTGCATGATTTTGTAAGCAAGAACAACAGTGAAGGTATTTCCAATTGTGTTTAAAGGAGAAGGCAGCCAAAAGCTCAAATGTTGCAGGCACTCAGCCAGGAAAGATGGTGACTTGAGGGAAAAATATAAACATAAGGACTAGGAGGTTGATGTGGTTTTCAAGAGCAGAGACAATTTCAAGATGGGAGTGGGACCCAGGTGAAGTGTTGGGATGCTGAGATTTTGCCAAGAACCTAAGAGCATTTGTTAATGTTGGCCACTGCCTCTCTTTTAAGAACAATTAATTCCCTTTTCCTACAAACCAACTACATGAAATACTGCCAGACTGATTGGAACCCGTAATGATGGAAATATGAAACAGGAGATGCTGTCCAAGGTTGGGTCTATACTTTGCTGGCTTAATTCTGTGCCCTTGGGGTGATTTGATTTGTGCATTTTTCATAGATGCTAGGGATCAACCTAAGCACCATAGACAAATACAAGGCAACAGCATTGTTATTTAACAAAAACCTCCGTGACTGATCAATCCCCAGCTCATTTCGATTTATAATACCTCACCTTTGTATAACTCACTACAGTTTATGGAGTGTTTTCATATTGATTGTCATTTGCTTCTCATGATCCACTTTATAAATGAGCAAAGTGACTTGCCCATGGCCATGGGCAGCGAAGTGGTGGAGGAAGTCTCTGACTCCAGGGCCAGTCCTCTCTCAGGGAGCCACAGAGGTGTAAGGAGCTGAGCTAGGTCTGAGGTTAGTTTTCTCCATGAACGTGGATTGCTCTGAGAGTTAAATAATTAAACATACAAATACAATGCAGCTTTTTTGTTTATTTGCTTTTTAAGTCAAAAAGCAGCGTCTTCATATTTCCTCAGAGACCCGTAGTTTACTTACTAGATCCACTCATGTCACTTGCCTGGGATCATTTTTAATCTTCTAAGCTTTTCCATTATTCCTGCTACTACTTTTGCATGTATTTATTTTTTTATTTAGACTATTTTTATATTATTCTATTTATGTCTTTTTAATATCAAAATATTTCATTTATATTGTGTATGCTACTTTTCTTTTTTTATTTATATTTATTTTTTTCTTGGTTATAAAATGATGCCTGTCTGGTATGGAAAATTCACAAAATATAGGAATTCTTTCCTATATTTTGTGAAAGAATGACATATAAAAATATGTCACCCAGAGCTAATTACTGTTAACTTTTGTTGTGTGTCCTAGTTCTGATGCTTTCTTGCAGTCTGTGATCCCATAGGCTCTTTTCTTACCTGCCTCTTCTTACTTCCTAAAAGAAAGTGAGGGCTGAGAACTGGAATAGAGACTCACCAATGCAGAAGCAGAAATGAACTAAATGCACACTGTTTAGCTTTTAACATAGGCTGTGGGTTTTTCTGGATTGTTTTTCTTCCTGTTATAATAGTTTATTACATGTGAATCATATTGATAACGTGCCTAAATTGTCAGTTCCTGATTCTCTGTGTGAAGACATCTTATTGAACAAATACTGAACAGTTTAAAGTCTACACAATAATGGTTAGCAAGCACTATACATACCCCAGTCTATAAGGTGTTATCTTTAACTAGTGTCACATAGCTCTTCTCTGGAATTTCTTAATAATAATCACTATCAGGTGATCATTAACAAGTCATACAATCTAATTCTTTTGACTTGTGGTAGCTTACCTTACGAGTCCGGATCCCACCAGCACCCCAGCAATGCAGAGCAGAGCCACTATACTGTTGACCACATTTGGGTTTTGGACCATTCCAAGTAGCACGAGAGTTAGAAATTCCCCAATTAAGTGGGGGGCCAGGAGAGCAGCAGAGAAATATCCAAATCTGGCAACCTCGGGGTACAAGCCCAGAGTCCTAAAAACACACAAGGTCTTTAGTTTCTCTCCAAGGGTTATCATTTAAGAAAAATACCATGCTTGCCTTCTATGAACGAGTTCGTGGTGGTTAGTGGTAGAGAAGAGTTTGCAGGGCAAATCAAACTCCCCTTTGAAAGGCCTTTTGGGAACAGAGCCAACATTGAGACCATTTATTATTGCCATTTGTCTCTGTTGGCTCCAGCTCAATGAGAGCCTCTTCCCTTTTACGGCTCCTTCAGCTCTCAGAGGAAGAGTCACAGCCAACTACAATGAGTAGGGGTACTGGACTCTCCTGGCTTCTCCACAAATAACCACGTTCTGCCTTGCTAGCACCCCTCCTACCCAAGCTAGCCGCCTACCCTAATGCTGGGGCTCACCCAACCTCTCCCACGTCCCATTATCAAACCCACTGCAGCCCCTTGGCCTGGCATTCAGCACCTCCCCTACTGGGCTGTACGGCCAGCAGTCAGATTTTCCAAGACTTCTCCCAACCCTGCATTCCCCACCGTGCAACTGAGATTTCTCTGTGTTTTTGCTTCTGAACCTACGCCCCTGCTACTCCTTCCCCTGTTAGGCCCTTGTTCCTGATTCCATCTGTTGAAATGCTGCTGTCTCTCAAATTCGCCTCCATGAAACCTCCAAGAGCCCCTCCCCGCACCCAACCAAGTAGACTCTTGGTCTCATCTGTAATTAACTTGGGATGATGGAAGTGAGGTGGGGAAGGCCACTGTGCCTCAGTTTCCTTGCCTACAAACAAGGATAATTATATCACCTTTATAGAATGGTTGCAAGGATTACATGAAATAATATATTTAAAGCTCTCAGTGCCTGTCATAAAGCAAGTGCTTGATATGTTAGCTATTACTATTAGTATTAGTAGTAGTAGTATTATAGTAGAGGCCCGGTGCATGAAATTCATGCACGGGTAGGGTCCCTAGGCCTGGCTGGCAATCAGGGCCAATCAGGGCCTTATGGCTGCCGGCTGGGGCCTCCCTTTCCTGGCTGCCAGCCGCCAGCCAGGGCCTTCCTTCGTTCCGCGCCACCCCCTGGTGGTCAGCGCACGTCATAGCAAGCGATAGAACTGGTCTCGCTGTCGAACTTGCTTGTAAAACTAATCTTAAACTTTCTTGAATTAAACTTATTTGAAGATTTGCTTATGTCCATACCCCATTATTTGAAACACTTTCGGGCCAGATGTGTTGTGGTATGTGGCAATTTACAGATTTCGGGAAGGTTTTACACTGTATAGTCCACACTTGCTGCATTGGGATCCGGGACTCCACCGGTCATCAAGCACAATATTCCTACTAAACAGCAGTGCTGATGGGAAAGTACAAAGAAACTCAGGGTTCTCTACCCTGGAGCTCCCCCTCTCCTGGTCCCACTGGCTGGCTGGGCCCACAGGAGGTCGGCGCACACCCCTTACCAGTAGCTCACGCTGCTGAAGATCATGGTGGCAATGACGCTGAAGGGGAGGACGTGCAGCACATAGGCCAGCAGCATCTGCCACTTCTGGTACAGGCCGTCCTGGCTCTCCTGATCACTGACCGCTCGCAGCACAGGAACTGGGCACGGAAGGCAGGTTGCAGAACAGTCGGTCACCACACAGCTGAGGGAGGGCGGGCTAGCCCAAGCTGCACTTGAGGTCTGCTGGAGCTGGACAGTGAGGACCAGCTGGGCTCTCAAGTCAGCGACAGAGGGGAGCTGCCATCCAGGGAGTTATGGTTAACTCCACCCTAGAAATCTACACTCTCTCTGAATTACAGTGCGGTTGCAAATTTGTCATAATGTATTTCCTTCTCCCTAATGTGGGGGGAAGGAGTGTCACCAATTCAAGAACACGACTGCAAAAGGGGCACAAATGAGTGATGCGAGCCACTCTGTCCTCTCTTTGTGCAGGACCTTGGCACAGAGCATCAAGCAACTAAGTATTGCTTCCGAATTCCCACTGACTTTGAAAATTAGGTCCTAAAATAGGCTTCAGAAAGAAGGTAACAGCACAAAGTTGGCCAGGTACCTGGGCCCCCTGGACTGCACATCCTAATGGCCAAGATAGGGCACCAGGGATAACCTTTCCAAACCTTGCCCATCAGTACCTCATACTTTATGTTTCCCTGGATCCTCAGGGACCCTCAGACATGCACTTGGTTGAATACACTAAGAGTGAGTAGCTCAGTAGTTGCTTTTCCCCAGAGAGAGAATCTGGTATTTCCCCAGAGAAATACCCTGATAATGGTAGAGTCTTGCAAAGTGACAGCGGGAGATGGGAGATATTCAGGGAGAGAGGAGCTCCCCCCTCCCCCAGCTTCAGGGCGCACCTCCTGGGCATGGCACTTACACAGAGTCACTGCGTTGAGCATGCCTGTGTATGGCATGGCACCCACAAACTGGTACAGGAGACCCACGCGGTCCTGGAAAGCACCTTTGAGCACATCGTTCTGGACCCGTACAAGGAAGAAAATGACGAACAAACCCATGATCAGATTCTGAACCAGACGCATAACCACTGCCAGCTTATTTCTCATTAAGTTTCTCGTCACTCTCCTGAAAGACAACCCCGTTTTAATTCCTGTTCTTTTGTTGGTGGATAGAAGCACCTAAAATGGGGTGAGTCTCTTACCTCAAAAGAACACACAGTTTAGAAAGAGTTCCAGGGGAGTCTCTGGTTTTGAAAGGAACCATTGGTAATGTTTTCAGGTGTTTTGTTCTTTCGATATTCTCCAAGGTTTTGTGATAAATTGCTGATTCTCTGTAGGCAGATCCAATCGATTGGACTCTCTTGTAGGTTTCCATTTCCCGTTCTTTGCTTTGGGTATCCACTGATGTCAGGTCCACTAAAATATTTTCCCAAAAGAAATAACCCATGTGTTTTTAAATGCACATATTTACACAATGGCTAATAATCTAGGTTTCATCATTGGTCTAGGACCGTGGTCGGCAAACAGCGGCTCGCGAGCCACATGCGGCTCTTTGGCCCCTTGATCTAGGTTTCATCATTGGTCTAGGAGTACTAGCTGTACTACTTCATCCTGCCAGAATAACACCTGTTGTTAATGCCCACCTTTAAAGTCAGAATGTGTTAAAACTACCACCAGGGCCATAAGGACCCCACGGGGACTGTATGGGAGAATTCAGAAGCTCAGCTCATTTTTCTCTGACCAAGAAGGCATGCCCCAATTTAAAAGAGATTCCCCCATTTCATTCTGATAGGTTATGGCCAGTTCACTGACCCAGCCAAATTAATTTCTTGAGGATTAAAAACACCAAAACAAATGCAAAAATAAAATCCAGCAGTGCTGGTGTCATCCAGGCAGAAATCTGAGATGATAAAGTCGTTTCTCATGGTGGGGACTGTGATTGAAAAACTTACTATAGAAATCAAAAGGGTTTGAATGTTCAGGACAAGGGTAGCCACAGCCACTGAAGAACTCAAGCATTTCCACCGGTGTCCCGCAGAAAACCAGCTCTCCGAAGCTCAGAATGGCGATTCTGTCAAAGAGCTGATTGGACAACAGATGATATTAGTGTGTAATCAAGTCAGCACACCCTTATGAGAAAAGTTGCAAGCAGTCCGTCCTTTGATGACCTCAGCCATGCATCAGTATTCTTACTGCATCCCAGGAAGACACGCAAAATGCACCCCCTGTTGTTCTGGGCGTGGGTGCCCCTGAGCATCCAGCCTGTGCTCAGCATCACACCTGGACCTGATCAATGGACATGGGTTTGAGTCCCAGTCGAGCCACTGAGTGAGTGAGTCACCTTGGACAAAATATTTTTTAAAATCCTAGATCCTCATCTATAAAAGGCAAATAATAGATCCCTAAAAGGGTCCTTGGAGGATAAATTGAAATTTTTGGAAAAAAACTGTGATTTGGTAGGAAAAACAAACAGTCTTTGAAGCCAACTGGACTTCCAATTCCAGTTTCTTATTAACTGTGTGACCATGGCTCAATGTTGTATCATTTCTAAGTCTCACTCTTCTCTGTAAGGCAGAAAGACTGACATGCACCTCACGGGACGGTTGTGTGGATTAAATGAGCAGGTGCTGAAGGCAGTGAGCTTCCTTCCTTTGCCCTTCCTATATCAGGAGCCACTGGCTCCAGCTGCTCTGGTTGGCGAGTACTAACTAATCTCTACCCCGTGCTCCTCAGCACAACACACACATGCACCACCTTGGACGAGCTGAGCAGGAACAAGAGACGTGCCCCCTCACCTGGAAGAGCTCAGAGCGGGGCTGGTGGATGGTGAGGATCACGATGCGGTCCCTGCGGGCCAGCTCTGCGAGGAGGACGACGATCTGGTTTGCAGTCATGCAGTCCAGGCCTGTCGTGGGCTCATCAAACAGCATGATGGCTGCCGGCAAAGAAGGGCAGACGTCAGAGTCACTCAGCGTTTTGAACCGTTCCAGCTGTTTCACCCCATCCGATCAGTGCACGGTGAGAAGCACCTGCATGCAAGCTGCCTTTCAGCCCGAGCCCGGGAGAAAGGACCCGGCCTAGGAGGCCCTAACTCCCAGCTCCCGAGCACACTTCGGGCGTAATCCTGAGGGAGCAGGGCAGCAGCCAGACCAAGCCTCACTTGCACATGGTTCTATGGACCATTGGGCCCATCCGGGGGACCTGAGAGGACAGGGCTGGCAGCTTGGCACCATGTGGTTTTAAAAGGCTGCTTCAAACACAACTGCATTTCATGCCTAGCACTTTCCAACACTAATAAGGTCTTTGCACTGCAAAAAACCTCAAACCCATAAAACCAGGTTCGAAGTGGGTGTTTGGCTTTTTTTGTTTGTTTGTTTGTTAATCCTCACCCAAGGATATTTTTCCATTGATTTTTAGGGAGAGTAGAAGAGAGAGGGAAAGACAGAGAGAAACATCGATGTGAGAGAAACACATCGATTGGTTGCCTCCTGCCCGGGGCCGGGCCGGGGAGGAGCCTGTAACCTAGGTACATGCCCTTGACCGGAATTGAACCCGGGACTCCTCAGTCCGCAGGCTGATGCTCCATCCATTGAGCCAAACCGGCCAGGGCGTGTTTGGCTTTTTTTAGAGGATTGAACTGTCATTTATTTCTACCCCAAAAGTGGCAAGGGCTCTTAAGAGCATCTCTCTTCTTTGCCTTCAGTGACCTGGCACCATCGGGAGGGCAGGCAGTCGTGGTCTCCCCCAGTGAGAAAAGTATCCAGAGGCACCGTGTCCTCTTCCAGGCTTCTGTAGAGGCGCAGTCTCCCCAGGTGATGGGGAGAGTGACCAAACCAGGCAGGGGGGCCAGGTGACAAGCTACCCATCTTGATAGCCCTTCCCTCAACACAATCACTTTTAAGTGTATCCCTCCACATCCTGCTTTAATTCCTGCCATTTCATAAATACTTCCAGTCACACCAAAGCTCATGGCTTACACAGCAGACACAGTGGTACTGCTCCTGGATGAAGTGCGGGTGCAGAGGACAGGATCCCCGAACATCAAAACACAAGTGAGGCCCTAACCAGTGGTCGGCAAACTGCGGCTCGCCAGCCAAATGCGGCTCTTTGCCCCCTTGAGTGTGGCTCTTCCACAAAATACCGACTTCTGCGCATGGGCCACGAAGTTTCAATTGCACTGTACGTGCGCCCGCTCGTGATATTTTGTGGAAGAGCCACACTCAAGGGGCCAAAGAGCCGCATGTGGCTCATGAGCCGCAGTTTGCTGACCACTCGTGATATTTTGTGGAAGAGCCACACTCAAGGGGCCAAAGAGCCGCATGTGGCTCGCGAGCCACAGTTTGCCGACCACTGCCCTAACCGGTTTGGCTCAGTGGATAGAGCGTCGACCTGTGGACTGAAGGGTCCCAGGTTCGATTCCGGTCAAGGGCATGTAGCTTGGTTGCGGGCACATCCCCAGTGGAGGGTGTGCAAGAGGAGGCAGCTGGATGTTTCTCTCTCATCGATGTTTCTAACTCTCTACCCCTCCCCCTTTCTCTCTGTAAAAAATCAATAAAATAAAAAAAATAAAACACAAGTGAGTGCTTCTGAGTCCAAGAGCTGTTTGGAACTTGGATGAGGAAAGAGTATCAGGAACTACATAGGACTTTCAAAAAAAACTGGGTCTTTGGTTTGAAAAACCTGTGCAAACCCCTTTGCAAATGGAGACTGTGGAGAAAGGGCCTCATATGAAGAAAGGGCTTGACGTGGAAGACACCCGGGAGCAGTTCGTGGCAGTTCGGGTCCCACTTACTGGGATCCTGGAGGAGCTGGGCTGCGATGGAGACCCGCCTCCGCTCGCCAGTGGAGATTCCCCCGAAGTTGTAGTTGCCGATCAGTTGGTCGGCCACGTGGCTCAGACTCAGCTCGGCCATGACGGCCTCCACCTGTGGGGGACAGAGCCCAGGAAGGCTGGTCACTGCGGGGCGGCTGTTCCCACTCTCAGCCAGAGGGTGGCGCAGGAGAGGCCACACGCTTCCCTGAGTGCTCCGGCCACTTTCAGCCTCACCACCGGGGAGAGCACGCCCATCACAGTAAAATCCAACTTGGTTCTAATCACAACATAATACATGCGGCTGATTAAAATAAACAAGATGAATTGTCTTTAAAAAAGTCCTTAGAGCAACAACAACGGCTTTCCTTTGCTCCCGAGAAATTCCCCAGGAAACGGTGGCGATGTCCCTGGACGCCTGCTTTCGGATGCTGCAGGCAGTCCAACCCACACAGAAAAGTCCCCCAAAGGCACAGTCACAGCACAGCTTGTTCCTTTAATGTTTTGTTTTCAAAACTTTATTAGGTTTTTAAAATCCTATTTGGTCTGAAATAAACCTGATTTCCCTTATTTAACCCAAATAAGACCTGTGGGTCCCCTGTGGTCCAATCTCAGTGTGGTTTTGCATCAAAGAACTATAATCCAGCTATCGAAAGTCATTAAAAGTAATGCCAATCTTTCCTTGAATCTCTGTAAGGACTTAAAAGAGGACTCAGCTTATAACCCATAGCCACACTTCTTAACATGTCTTCTCCCCCAGTTCTCCTCAGTCTACTTATCTTATACCCTGCAGCTCCCTGAAACCTCTCCTTACTCCGCATTCTCAACTCCCCACAACAACTAAAAAGATTCCTTACTGACTCTCTAATCACAAGGTTGTTGCTTTTTCCTCCCTCTCCTTTCTCCCTGAGCATAGCCCCTCTCCACAGACCCTCCAAAGATCTCCAGCTCTGGCTCTCCCCGTACCAAGCCCCCCTCCCTGTAGAGGCCCTGGGCAAAGCAGAAAGAATGAACTGAGAACAGCGACTTATATGGTAGTGAGCTTTGTTCCCATACACCTCTAATGAAAAAAGAGAGCACTGCATTAAAAAAAAACAATAACCAAACAAACTAGATTGGAGTAACAGGGGGTGAGTTATGGAACAGTGTTCCAGAGGACACAGGGGTGGAATCAACAGCGTAGATGGAGCTTTGACCAAAAGAAGGAACAATCTAAACAGATACAAAGCAGTAGAGGGAGGTGAAACATGCATAAATAAACCAGCATGTTCTGTTTTTTTCAGACTGTTTTTAAAATTCAGTGTGTATGGCACACTCACCCTGTGGAGAGTGACTACAGTGTTTGGACAGGTTCAAGCCTCAGACTAATGAGAGGGCACAGTCCTCTCATGGCCACGTGTAAGTCCCAGCTTGGAGGGCAGAGCCCTCCCAGCACAATTATAGCCAACAGCTGTAGTTGTAAGCTTGAACCTATGGTCCGAACACGTGGCCCCATGTGCCTGAGTGATGTAGGCTTGATAGAGTTCAGGTGCATGTAATTGAGTAGGATCAAAACCCACAGAATGTTGTAAACATCTTGACCACGTCCTTACTTTGCCTCGTGGAATCTGGCTATAAAATAAAGACACGGCTTGTAGTCCGTGGTGCTGTCGCCAGCTCTCCATCAGAGTGGACAGCATCCCACCTAGACCCAGCTTTTATTCTCTTGTCTGTCTTTTCTAAATCCTTAACTGCCCCCTCCCAGGTTCACCCTTGGCCGTGCTGGTGTGGCAGATAAGGCGCCCAATGTGGGGCTGAGTATGCCATGGCCTTGAGAGCTCGCCACATCACCCCACACCTCAATTAGGACCAGTCACATTTCAAGTGCTCAAAGCCACGTGGGACCAGCGGCTGCCACACTGGGCAGTGCAGGTCTAGACTCAAAAAAGGCTGTGGGAAGAGGGGGGAATGGAGGTAAGAGTGGGTACGAAGCCAGTGGGGGTGAGCCCCTGGGTGCCCCTGCTGGGGGGCCTGGGAAGCCCTGCCCCAAGCCCAGGCTGCTGGGCAGGTGGACAGGCGGCACCCACCTTCTTCTGGATGAAGGCCCGGGAGGCCCCGCGGATGGCCAGCAGCGCCGTGTAGCCCAGCGTCTCGCGCACCGTGAGGCTGCTCAGCAGAGTGTCGCTCTGCGGGAGAGGAGGCATCAGTGTGGCCCCCGACCACGTTGCCCGAGTCGGGCGGGGACGCGCTCACCTGCAGGACGTAGGAGAAGCAGTCCTGGAACTGGTCCCTGCGCAGCGCCTGGCCGTTCACGCACACCTCCCCGAGCAAGGTCCCCTGGCGCCGCAGCCTCCCGGACATGGCGTCCAGCAGCGTGGTTTTCCCGGAGCCTGGGGGCGAGCAGAGAAGGCCCTGGAGGAAGCCCCGCCACGGGGCACCCAGGAGCTTCCCAGAGCCTTGGGGACCAGTCAGGGTCCAGCCTGACTTGTTCTCTCCTGAGCCTCCTAAGGCAAACTCTGGTGGCACCAATGAGCCTTTCCTGCTTGTCGCCTGAGTGACAGGAGGCTCAGCCATTTCCCTCATCCTGGTCTTCGCCTGTTTATCTGCTTTTAAAGCCAGTTCCCACTGAAAAGGACAATATACGTTCAAAATAAAAGGAAAACCAGGATTTTGGGAAACACTTGGTCCTAAGACATCTGAATTTCTTTTTGTGGCCCCTGGGGCCGTCAGGTGGTTCCTAAAAGTAGGGGACACTGCCTGGAACCCCGCTAATCAAGTGTGTCCTGGGGACCAGCAACATCAGCATCGCCTGAGCCAGGGGTGGGCAAACTTTTTGACTCGAGGGCCACAATGGGTTCTTAAACTGGACCAGAGCGCCGGAACAAAAGCATGGATGGAGTGTTTGTGTGAACTAATATAAATTCAAAGTAAACATCATTACATAAAAGGGTACGGTCTTTTTTTTTTTTTTTTTTTTAGTTTTTTTCCTTTCAAACGGGCCGGATCCGGCGGGCGGGCCGTAGTTTGCCCACGGCTGGCCTGAGCACTTGTTAGCCGGGCAGACTCTCAGGCCCCGCCCACAGCCGCTGAATCAGATGCTGCTTTTTAACAAGCTCCCTGGGTAAATCCCAGGCATATTAGCGTTTGAAAAGCACTAGTTTAGCAAGTCCTCGGGTGAAACCACGTTGGCCTCAGCGGGGTATAAACAGCCTTGGGCCTAACCCAGCAGGCTGTTGCTCAGAACTTCCCGCTGGAGAGCTGGAGTGGACAAGCTGCCTGGATGGGATGGCTTGTGCAACCCTAAAGAGATCTTTTGTTCAAATATTTGTAAGGAAACTGCTTGTTGCTTTGGGGGGATACGAAGATAAAGAAGCCACACTCCCTCCCTGGCTGGTTTGGCTCAGTGGATAGCGCATCGGCCTGCGGACTGAAGGGTCCCAGGTTAGATTCCGGTCAAGGGCACGTACCTTGGTTGCGGGCACATCTCCAGTAGGAGGTGTGTAGGAGGCAGCTGATCGATGTTTCTAACTCTCTATCCCTCTCCCTTTCTCTCTGTAATAAATCAGTAAAATATGTTTTTTTTTTAAAAAGAAGCCACACTCCCATAGAGTCATCCTCTTTTCTACCCCAGGACTGACCAAGCTCAGAATTAGCCCCAACCTGTTTGGGTAGACGTCAATGTGGGGAGAGAGGACAGTGATTGCAAAGAAACAAAGGTGACTTAATAGGGGCTGTCTTTCAAGATGTGCCCTGAAATGTCCCAGTCACCTTATTGGACCTTGTATGTGGGTCTCTAGCTGGAAGCCTCCCTGGCCTTACAATTCTGGGGTCCAATCTCAGTTCTGACAGAAGCTCTGAATCCAGGAGCCTGGATGCCAGTCCCATCACTGCATCAAAACTGGCCTCCCTACAGTCGGTCATCAAGGCGACTTCCTTGTGCCAAACACAGAGGGCATTTTCCCGTATGTTGCACAATACTGTGAACACAGGATGTCCCCAAAAATGTAAACACACTGTAACAGCTGATAGCTCAATTTTTAAAATTAAGTGTATTTTAATAAACACTGCCTTTATAGTTATTCAAAGTGTGTGTATACATTTTTTGGGGACACCCTAGATATTTGATCCCACTGAACTGTGCACTTAAAAATGATTAAGATGTGAAATTTTCTGTTATGTGTATTTTATTATAATAAAAAAGGGAAAAAGAAACCAAAAAAGGTTAATGCCATACGGGGCAATAAAACCATGACCTTTGGGGTTATCTTGTCTAAAAGGACAGAAATCGTTTGTAACTAGTCTGCTTCGAGGGAACAGGCAGCACAGAATCTACGTCCTAATCGATAGCAAATAATGAGTGAAATACAGTTACCTTTCCCTGGAGTGTTGGGTGACCCTAGGCCAATGGTCGGCAAACTGCGGCCCCTTGAGTGTGGCTCTTCCACAAAATACCACGTGCGGGCGCGCACGTACAGTATGATTGAAACTTCGTGGCCACACTCAAGAGGCCAAAGAGCTGCATGTGGCTCGTGAGCCACAGTTTGCCGACCACTGCCCTAGGCAAACTTGTACTTGACCATTCTTTAGTGAGACTTTGAACACCTAAGCCATCTTGTGCCTCACTAATAAAGATTTGATAAATAATGCTGCTTTAGATAAAACACCAATGAAATAACGTCATTTTATGAAACACTAAGAGTAATGCATAACATTGATTCATTTGCTTATTTATTGATTCAACAAGTATTTATTAAGCACTTACTATGTGCCCAGCCCTGTTCTAGTTGTTGAAGATAGAGCAGGAAGAAAGGGAGAGACCTCCCACTCCTGTGGAACTCGCATCTACTGCGAATCCATGTTCAGCGTAAAAAGATGGACACTGTCGTAGAACCACGATTAGGGATCATCAGAAACCAGCCCACGAGCCCCAGACCCAGAACCCCACCCACGTCCTCCTGAGATGTGCATGAAGCATAATATTGGCCTGTGGGACACCCCTCTGAGAAGGTGGGCTCAATTCCTGGCTGTGTGCTACATGCCGCCCGTTTTTATCCTACACAAGGAAGGCAACGAGTAACAAGTTATTATAGAAACAACAGCTTTTGTTCTTTTTAAAGAAGTATGTTATAATTATTAAAAGAAAATTTAGCACAGCTAGTGTGGCTCAGTGGTTGAGCATCAACCTATGAACCAGGAGGCCATGGTTCGATTCCCGGTCAGGGCATATGCCCGGGTTGCAGGCTCAATCC